CACATACATGAATATCAAAACGTTCGTTTTGTCTTCGTGTCATTGTTGCAAATTAGTTCTAAACAATTTGTGTACAATTATTTTTCTTATGAGTATATTATGGAAGGAATTTATCGGTTTATGGAAGTTGCTAAAAGATTTTTCGTTTTAAATTTTGAAATCGCAGCAATTTCGGCTTAAGAGTTTCAATTTTAGAGTGAAATTTGAAAGTTAATACTATAGCCGCGTAAAATTAAAAGGGTAATTAAATCTTTTTAAACCGGATTGTCCTTTAAGCCCAAAGATTTGCACGTTGGATTCTATAACCCAAAAGTTTCTAATATTGGATTGGCTTCCGAAAAACCATTTTTTATATAGAACACCTTAGATAAACTATTTTTAAAAATTCACATTCTGGAGACTTTTGAAAAAATTTATAGAGAGCAATCTTTTTTTTTTTGTCAGAGTGATTAACTTTGTGTCAAATTAGTGTCTCAAACTCAAACTCAGTGATTGGTCACTATGACTTAAGTTGGATTAAAGTATGTCTTAAAGGGACAAGAGTAACTAGCCCTTAAATTTGTGGAAATGAATTGAACATAAAACCTATGAATTATCAAAAATCAAGTTCAACCATTGAACTACCGTTAAAGATTTATAAATAACAAGCTTAATGGTACGACAAAGGGCATAGACCCTTTGCGCTTTGGAGGGGCAATTCCCCCAGTTTCCTCATATATATAATGCCACAACGTTACTGATATGCTGTATCAGTGATTAATCTATATAATTTTAACTCAAATCTCAAAATTAAATAAATAAATTTTTATTTTTACAGTTCAGATCATTTTAAATTTTATCTTAAAATTAATCTGACAGTTAATATTAACTCCTCAAGTTTAAAAGGGAAAATAGACCACTAAGGATATATTTAAGGTGTCTTTTCAAAAGTTTTTTTAAAATTTATAATTTTTCATAAATACTATAAAAACAAAATTTAGTATTTGGAATAGCCTCACCATCACCCCCACCGCCGCACTATCATCACCATTACCACCAGCATTGCCACCCCACTATTGTTGTTGCCACCCTATCACCATTTTCACTGTTCCAACACGATCGTTATTTCATTCTTATATTTGTTACTACTACCATCATCATTTTACTATCATCAACACCCAACCCCAACACCCACCGCCACCCACTATTGGACCAAATCAGTTTTTTAAAGTATAAAGAATGAATTTTGGTCGATTTTGAGCCTAAATTAAAGTGGGACTTAATTGTTATTTTGAACAAAATTTCGTGGGTTCATATTCTATTCCGTGAAGAGAATAATGTAGTATATTCACTTGTTCAAATCGAGTTAAAAATTAATGAAAAAATAAGCTCCAAAGTGACCCTCTTGAAATGTGAAAATAAAGAAAGTATAATGTGGGATGTGACACCAATTTCATATTGGTTGAGGAATAAATTCAACATGAGCATATATAAGTCAAGTTTGCTCTATGGGATTGGACCTCAAAGGGTACCACAGTTTTCTGAGCGAAGTTAGCACCTATATGCTTTTGGTTCAACCACATGAGCGCGTCGCCCGCCTGCCTTTCCGGACTTGGGTACGGGTGTGGGTTAGACCAAACCCTATCTTTTTAGAAAAAAATTATTTAATTATTTTGGTAAGAATTTCTTAACCCGAAATAAATTTTCGGTACCTATTGGATCGCACTGGTTTGGATTAATGTTTCTTACCAGTCCGAAATTCTGAGTTATGACTACTCATGAAAAACAGTTACTCAAGGTGTCTACTGACTGTTGTGTCTTATCATTCTGAGTTGAGTCCTTTAATAAGATAACTGTCCGAAAAGTTACCAATGTGTATAAATAACCAGGCTCATTTCTATTAATTTCATTCAATTTATCAGTCTGTTTTCTACAGTAAGGCAGACATTATAACATATCATTTTTGGCATTAAGGCAGTGCATTTAGAGAGTACACAACACGATTTTGATTCACTAGACGAGCAGATTGGAGTGCTACTTCTATTTGTAAAAACATTATTGTATCTTGAGAGGCAGACGCTCGATTTTTATAAGCACCGTGTGTGGGGGTGAAATCTGTCTTAAAGACATAGTGTCAAATACTAGTCTTGATCTACCTAAAGTTCAATAACAGTTCCTGTTTTACAATCGGGTTAGTATTTTTATTGTTTAAACAAACAGTTATGTGTATCTGTTTGTTGTTACTATGTCGTTACCCTGTTGTAACTCTTTTGTTTTTGTCTAACGTTTTACTGTAACTGTTTTGTTATACATTACATGGTTCAAATCAAAAATTTTAATAAGTGATTTTACAATATTTGGCACACCACAAACAACACTCACTACCATAACCCATCACCAACTGTCGTCGTCCACCAATGTCCCCAGCCACTGTCAGCCACCCTCACCACACCTACCACCACTAACCACCACCACTCATTATCGCCCACCACCACTAACACTCATTGTCACTCACACCTACCATCACCACCATTATCATCATTCGCCACCATTACTACTATCACACATCCACACCATACCTACCATCATCATTGTCATCTAAAAGCACCTGTCATTGCCAACCACCACTATTGTCACCGTCCACCACTGTCGTCACCCCATCACCACCACCATCGTTATTCATCACCACCCACCGCCACCAACTACTACAACCCATCACCACCCGTCATCGCCAGCTACTGTCACCCACCCTCACCACACCTACCACCGCTAACCACCAACCCCCATCATGCCCACCACTACTGTCACCCATTGTCACTCACTCCTACCACCCCCCACCACCATCGTCATTTGCCACCATCACCACTGTCACACAATCCCACCATACCTGTCATCACCACTGTCGTCTAGAAACACTTGTTGTCATCCACCACCACTATTGTCACTATCCACCACCGTTGTCGCCCCACCACCGTCGTCGTTGCCATCACCCATTGTTGCAACCAAAACTCACCACTATTATCACTGTTGTCACTCATGGGTGCCACCATCACCACAATTATTGCCATCTACCACACCACAACCATCACCGTCTTCCACCACCATTACTTCTGTCCACCACCACTATAATCGATGCTTAAAATATTTTTTCTTTCTTTTATGTTTGTAATTTGATTTTGAGTATGAATACAAATATATTTATTATTAACTATTTTTTGCATTATTCTATACATTTAGACACGGATAATAATTAATTGTAAAATATCNTAACTTCACCTTTAAAGTTAATACTTAATTTTTAAAAATTGATCTCAGTATTTTTGAATTTCACAATATTTTTAGGCACGGGTTATAATTTAATATGCTGATCTGATGACATGGCAAGGATATGGTTCAATAGTATTTTTTTGTAATTTTAATTTTTAAACTTCTTCATTGAAATTCTAGCACTCGATACATCATTAAATTAATAAATTATGTTAAATTTTAAGTTTCAATAATATTACTCTAATATTTATATATATATAGTTTTTTACACGATACCAGTGAATTGGGTTACCATGGGAGTTGATTATACTCAGCATATGATATCGGAACGGTACCAAATAAAACGGGCTTAGGGTCAAACCCTTATTAANGCTTTCGAGTTCGAATGTTGTGGAGTTCGTATTTCGCTCGTGTGTAAAATTCTAAAATTAACACACCCGGATTCATCATTAGTGCGTGCACAAAGGCATCACTATAAAGGATAAATGAATATTCTTCGGCAAAACATCCTTTAGGTTCCCTGAAATATTCCAATATTCTGCTNTTAATTATTCTCATCCCCATCACAACATTTTGGTAACATGTGAACCAAACATATGTAATAGTAACAAATCCACCTCCTAGACACCCTTGTGTGTTAACTTACCGAAAAAAAAAAAAAAAAAGACACCCGTGTGTCCGAATAATTTTTTTTGTTTCGACGATCAGATGTATTCGCAGTTAACTTACATATATCTCGATTATTTTTTTTTCGGTTTTAATTAAATANTTTGTTTCGACGATCAGATGTATTCGCAGTTAACTTACATATATCTCGATTATTTTTTTTTCGGTTTTAATTAAATACAATTCATCTATGTCATGATTAGAATATTCATAAAGAATAACTCTCATATAGTTTGACCCTTAAGATGTTTGAGTTTACAATTATTACTGTTATCACTTGTATTATCTTAAGGTTGTGTTCGAATGGTTTCACATGGGATTCCAAACAACTCACTAACACCGTGGGAATTTTCGTAATTAAAAATAAAAGGAAAAAAAAATGACATACTTGCCGCGTAATGTTTCTAAATTCACTAATGCTATTGAGACATAATTGAAGAACATAATTTGGAGACATAATGAATTGTCGATATGATAATGAAATATATTCAAATTATGTCCTAATAACATTGTTCTTCTAAATTTAGGTGGCCAGTGGTTCATAATAGAGAAAAGCACAATTCCAACATTTTTTTATGCTAAATGAAAGGAGACAAAGAAATTATTGTTTTTAAGTGTTAGGACATAAAAACTTTGACAGAGAAAATGAGAGAAAATTTAAAAAAAATATTATTCATTTTAAATTTGAATGATTTAAAAGGTTTTATTACGGCTACTTATTTCAATGCATTTTTTTTTTCAAGTATCTTTACCAAGTCTCAATTTTCTACATTAACACATTACTAAAAACTTCTACGCAAGAAATTACCTAAAATTAGACCAAGTAAAACTGATTAACTTTGAGCTTATTACAACATTAGACCACGATCAAAATATAAATAACTACTAATCCTTGTTCTACATCACTAACTCTGTTTGAGTCTCAATCACAATCAATGGAAGCATTTGTTGAAGCAGAGGGAACCTTGTATAACTCAAATTCGAAGGAAAGCACCACCACCCACTCCTCTCTCTCTCTCTCTCTCTCTCTCTCTCTCTCTCCCTCTCTCTCTCTCTCTGTGTAGGATAGAGTCTTGAAGGTTAAGAAAATGTTAAGCAACGAAGACACTCTGGAGTATTGGAATGCAGTTTCATTTGGGAAGGTTAAGCAAAGGTTCAAAGATAGATTCAAGGTACGGGTGAAAAAATAGTTAAAAGTATATTTTGTAAACTTTTCTGATAGTTCATTGATTTGGGTTTGTAGAGAGTGGCACAAACGAAGGAGAAAACGAAGCAAATCTTATCCAAGCACGCCGATAAGATCGCTAAACAAGCCGAGGAACATGAAAGATTCATCAACAAGGTATGTTTATACACTTTGATACAGATGAACAAACTTCTATATGCTTTTGTATATAACTTTTTGCATTCTTAATATCTGATTGATATGTTTCTGGGTTTTGATTATTTTGTTTGAATTGGATATGAACATGTATTCTGATTGGACTTTCGTTTGTTTATAGGTGACTCATCTATTGGGTGTTCTTGGGTTTGGGGCAGTTAGCTTCCTTTTAGGTGCAAGTGAGTATGTATAGTCTTGATTGCTTTTGCTGGAACTAAGTTAGCATTGTTTCTTAACACTTTGCTGTAAGTTTTATGCTAATTTGTTGGTTGCGTTATTGCTTCATCTATATTAATCAGGGCCTCAAGATATACCTTACTTGTATTGTTTGTTCTTCTTCACCTTCGTTCCTATTCGATGGATTTATTACCGGTATAAGAAATGGCACTATTATCTTTTGGTAAGCTCCAACAGATCTTTAAATTTTTTCTCTTGGTTTAGTTTTTTTATCTATAAATCTTTGTTTTTGATAATTTAGTGGGAACGTTGGAGCTTAAATTTTCTCTCTTTTCTCCTTAGTATTTTGAATAGTTTTTAAGACATTATCGACGATATAAATGATCTAGTTTTTTTCTTGTGCCCCGCAGGATTTTTGCTACTATGCCAACACAATTTTCTTGGTCCATCTTTTGTTCTTTCCAAGAAATGAGAAGCTTTTCATGGTTTGCTTCTCATTTGCAGAGGTAATTACAGATAGTAGTACCAACTTATATATCACCCATCCTGGCGATAGCATTGGTTTACTTTCTTTCAATTTTGATATAGGCGTGCTTGCTTGAATACAGGGACCACTAGCATGGGCATTGATCGCTTGGCGTTGTAGCTTAGTTTTTAGTTCACTAGACAAAACTGCAAGCGTCCTCATACATCTTTTACCTGGTGAGTTGGACCTCTTCTTTTGTATGACTAATGCTACTAATAATAGGTCTTTATTCTACATTTATCTGAAGGTGGTTATATCTTCTGATGGAATAATAAGTAATGTAACTCCTTTATCGCACACTTGCATCACTTGAATGTTGGTTATAATGGTTCTTTGCCCCCAATAAGTAATGTTTGATTCGTATGATTAAAATGTTTTGTGCTGCATTGATCATAACCAGTGGATCTGTGTAGGCAATTACAGTTTTTCATCAATCTGCTAGTTTTGACTATATTATGATCATTTCTGGAAAGCTGTGAAAATCATGCTTAACTTCCAATAATTCTTCTGCCATCTGAAGCGTACCATAACTGTTATAAAGCAGTGTGTTACATTCCTTAAATGCTGCTGTTTCACCATATTGAGGATACCAAATTCGCTTACTTTATTACTTAGGCTAGCAGTAGTTGGAATAGGAATTCATTAGCTTATTGTCCTGGCAGAGTTTTAGCCTACACTAATTGAGTCAACGTCATGGGACAGTTTCTTTCACCCAAGTTTNAGTTTATTACTTAGGCTAGCAGTAGTTGGAATAGGAATTCATTAGCTTATTGTCCTGGCAGAATTTTAGCCTACACTAATTGAGTCAACGTCATGGGACAGTTTCTTTCACCCAAGTTTTCAATTTACCAGTGTTTATGTCATGATTTGAATCCGTTGGAATTATCAAAAATAATGGTCAGAATACACATTTCTTTGTTCAAGAGTAATCAGAAATCAGAATGTCTCATAATTGCATGTGGATTTCAATGTATAACCAAGTTATGAAAGTTATCAACTGAAACTGTGGCACAGAATTCAAGTTTTCTTGTTCGTTTTGATGTACAGGGTTGGTTTTCTTCACAATTAGATGGTGGGATCTAGCATTCTTTGCAGCCATGCATCCTCAAGGAACTGCTCAGAGTCAGAGAGTGTCATGGCCTTATGTAGAAAGCAAATCTGACCTGTGGACATGGCTATTTGTAGTTCCTTTAGTTGCTTATAGCCTTTGGCAGGCTCTCTATTTTCTAATTGTAAATGTCTTCTGTCAACAGAGGCTTTCAAGAGATCCTGAAGTCATGACATCTTACAGGTTTTCAACTTCTTCTTTGTGAATCTGTCCCATATCTGTTCTCTGGTGCGTTAAATCCGGAGTTTAAACCATGCTTTCGTGTAAACAACGACGAACTAAGAAATAAGTTTGAAATTACAATAATATAACACGATAACATTAATCAACTCCCCTTTTCTTGTCCATGTTGGTTTCCAATTTGATTATTACTTGTTCTGCGGTATTCTTGGTTTGATAGGGAACTCTCAAAGAAAGCACAAAAGGCAAACAATATATGGTGGCGTTTAAGTGGTATGCTAGGGGATCAGAATCGGCAGTTTATGTATATTCTGATCCAAGGCATCTTCACAGTGGCTACTATGGCATTCACAGTCCCCATATTTATGTCATATGAACTACACCTTATCTTCCAAATACTCAAGGTTTCTGCAACTACATGGAATGGAGGATGCTTTTTACTAGAAGTTATGCCGAGGCAGGTGGTTCTCAAGGAGAAGAAAAAATCAGAAACGGATAAGCATATACAAACTCAACAAGATGAGTACTCAATTGTGCACGAAAATCCAATGAAGACTTATAATCGGACGTCGTGTATGTGCTGGAAGATTCAGTGACAACAATTGATGATTCTGCCAACGGCTGAGAAGCTCAAATCCTAACAGCCGTGTACAAAGTAATGTGTATGATTTAATAGGAAAATTCTTAGTTGAGAATCTGACTTTTTAGTGGAAATGATCAAGATTGCATTATGCTGGTTTTGAAATGTCTTTGTTTTGTCACTGGTTTTTGTCTTTTTAGCCTACTTTAACTTCTGTTTTTTTTTTTTTTATGTTTTTTTATGCAACATTTTATTTTTTTATTTGAATTTGTTCTCTTCCTCCAAACGTAAATGACATTTATAANTTTATGTTTTTTTTAAAGCAACATTTTATTTTTTATTTTTTTATTTGAATTTGTTCTCTTCCTCCAAACGTAAATGACATTTATAATATATAAATATAAGATGCATAATTATTACTTTTGTAAAATAGTAAACAAACATTTTCGCTATAGCTATAGCTAGAGGCTATCCAAGGTAGCAACTAGATTATAATAGGTGCTACCTAAGCGAATGTTCGTATCAAACTTTGAGAATATTCTTCCTTTTCTAAGCTATTGCACCTTCAATAATGGGATAAGGGCGACGATACTATAAAGGTACCATATATGCCAAAAATTAATTTGAACTATTAATTNAGAGCCCAAGGCTATCCAAGGTAGCAACTAGATTATAATAGGTGCTACCTAAGCGAATGTTCGTATCAAACTTTGAGAATATTCTTCCTTTTCTAAGCTATTGCACCTTCAATAATGGGATAAGGGCGACGATACTATAAAGGTACCATATATGCCAAAAATTAATTTGAACTATTAATTTAAATTTAAATTTAAATGATTGATAACTATTAATTAAAATAATCANATAGCTAGAGGCTATCCAAGGTAGCAACTAGATTATAATAGGTGCTACCTAAGCGAATGTTCGTATCAAACTTTGAGAATATTCTTCCTTTTCTAAGCTATTGCACCTTCAATAATGGGATAAGGGCGACGATACTATAAAGGTACCATATATGCCAAAAATTAATTTGAACTATTAATTTAAATTTAAATTTAAATGATTGATAACTATTAATTAAAATAATCATAATAAAATAATAAAAATAAAAATATTTTTATAAAGTGAAAACTATCAAAACGATTTTCGCACAACCTTACGCAATAAGTCACCATTTCTAGAAAGTCAACGCCACACCAAATTTTTTTAGAATATTTTCTGTCAAATTTATTATAAAAAGCAATAATCGTTGTGTAAAAATGAGGNTGATTGATAACTATTAATTAAAATAATCATAATAAAATAATAAAAATAAAAATATTTTACCCTTGCTTTTATATTAAAAAATTACATTTATGTTTCGTAATGAAACTCTAGCATTGACATTTGAATAGAGCACAAGGAATATTAAAAGAATCTCTCTAGTGTCAACAACTGGCTAGAATGTTCTTACCGAAGAAAACAACGGGCAACAATGTAAGATCACATGTCAAGCCATTAAAAAAACATCGCGAAGCAATACTTTAGTTTCCATGGTGTTTCTCAAGTTGGCCAGAGTCGATGGTTGTCTAGGTCAACAAAGAGATTTCAGAAAACAATAAATAAAGTGGAAACTATCAGAACGATTTTCGCACAACTTTAAGCAATAAGTCACCATTTCCAGAAAGTCACGCCACACCAAATTTTTTTCGAATATTTTCTGTCAAATTTATTATAAAAAGCAATAATCGTTGTGTAAAAATGAGGCCGCAAAAGGCTGCCTAAAGCAAAGGAAAAACCCTACTATAATCATCTTCTTCCTTTAAAAATACACCGCCAAAGAACAAGAACTCACATTATAGTGAATTAACCCATCTCTTTAGCTGACGAACCACTTAATTTTTTGCGTCATTCCTTACCTATTTTAGCACGCACACACAAGGCACATTATCTAGAGCTCATCAGCTCACCTACTTCCTGTTTCTCGATTTTTTATAGCATTAGTTTGGCGTCTTCTCTAAGAATGATTGGTCACGTCCCGCTCTCTGTTCACTCCTATCTTTGATTGATTGATGGTAATCACCACAAATATGAGTCAGAATCTAGAAAATCAAGAACGAGTTCCTCCGCCTTTGCTTCCTACAAATCTACTCATGTGGGAGTTGGAAACTTACCATCAAACTATGCAACGGATGCTGGTGAAACCAACAGGCCTGACAATCCAAAAACGACCTTTGAACGAGATTACCAAAGAAGATGATAGAGCAAAACCAGTAATCTACATCANTTCCTCCGCCTTTGCTTCCTACAAATCTACTCATGTGGGAGTAGGAAACTTACCGTCAAACTATGCAACGGATGCTGGTGAAACCAACAGGCCTGACAATCCAAAAACAACCTTTGAACGAGATTACCAAAGAAGATGATAGAGCAAAACCAGTAATCTACATCATTTATCTCCTCAAGTTCATCTCCCAACTTTTTAAAAGGTCATTGCAAATTCAGTCCATGAGGCACTATTTTAGATGCAACCTGGAGCCTTATTATGAGGGCACACGATCTACACTTTGTATATAAACTTAGCTAACAATTCTTTCCTGGATACCGCATGAAGGGGTTAACTGATGATACTAAAAAAATATACAGCTCAGTCAGGTTTGGTTAGGTCGGCCACACCAGGTCAGGTCAGCTCAGATTGGCTGGGTCAAGTCAACCCCATTCAATGGTTATCCAACAATGAGGTTCCACAAGACAACAAACAACATGAAAACTATCAAAAGGAGAAGAAAAACACTTTCACTATCAATCCCTACCTTGGACAATAAATCACTACTTTTGAAAGACCACGTCACACCAAATATTCTCTGAATATTCCTCAAATTTTTTCTAACAAATCAATTATAAAAGACAATAATTATTGTGTAAACAAAAAATTACCTAAAGCAAAGAATATTTCCTACTGTACTCATCTTTTTCCTCAAAAAATACACCACAAAAGAACAAGAACCTCTATTATAATGGACTAACCCAACTCTTCAGCTGAGTGAACCACATAATTTTATGTACATTATGTACTTTCTTTAATGCACCTCATCCAGAGCTCATCAACTCACCCACCTCACTCCTCTCGATTTTTTACACCATGTTCTTTGATATTATTGCCACATATGAGAGTTCCGATACAAAAAGACTTGCACACACTAAGTAAAACCGATACAAAAGGACTTACACACACTAAGTAAAATTGTTTTATTATAACATAAATGTTATGGATTTGAGTCACATAAACCCCACAGTGACGGGATCCACATGCACTCGATTGCTGGTTATATATGAGAGTTTCATTCAACTCTAAAACTTGGAAAAGCACAAAAGTTTGAATTAGTATGTTGAAAAAAACTGAATAACGCATATTCATTCGGCCCAAAAGCACAAAGACTAGCTAACATAGCAAAACAAAGCATAACCTTATTGGAATTCTTCATAATGAAAACAACCGCGATGGTAAAATTCTAGACCTACCAAACTGGCATACATATGAGAGTTTCAAACTTGCAAGTGGTTATTACTACTGGACTACTTGATGGTATGTAAAGATCAATATCCAAATGTTTTTTCTTCTTTCTTTTTTTTTTTTTTTATATATGAGGTGCGAAAAAACAGACATACACACAGTAGACACCTCAACTGTAAAAATTCAAAACACTACAGTACTTGATACAATTTGCTTCCCCATGTAAAAGAAGGGGGCAGGGGGGAAGAAAGGAAATACATTATTCTCCTACACTACTCCAAATAATGACCTAAAGCAATAGCAACTACTATTAATAACATGCGCGCTTGAAACACCAATGTGTATTTCTGTGCATGCACATAATCACACCAATAGCAACACAGCCTCTGAATGAATGCCCTTGTGTTGAAGAGACGCGGGAGAAATTTGAATGGACTCGAACAACCAAAAAAGACAGGTTGTCCAAGCGAATGGGAAAAAAATATATATATACATGACACATGATGCAATGGACAATGAGGTTCTATGCACAGATTTCTGCACATCAATTGATGAGCAGAGTCGGCTGTATTATGGCAGAAGACAGGATTCAAATATTGCCCACCATGATAATTATTACTCCGAGCGTCCATGTAAAAATACAAACCCAGAGTTTTCACGGATTAATGGTGGAGGTTCAACATCAGCTATGTCTATTTGTTGCATTGACTTGGAGATGTCATCCACAGAGAATGGGATGCTGCATTGACATGTAATCAAGGCAGAAAACAAAACCGCACATATAAACGTTGGTAGGTTGTAACATAAAAAGTAGCCTAATAACTGTTATTGACAACATGGGAAGATACTGAAAGCAATTACCTTGAGTCATCGTCTAATAAAAACGAACTACTAACAGCGTTGTTGGAGTCCTCTGTCATCTGAACCCTCATACTCGAAATAACCTGTATTATCAGGACAAAAAAGGGTCAATTTTGGCTAAGGAGACCTATATCAAAGCTAGGAAACAAAGTTCAAAAAACACCAAAAGANAGCCCAGAAAACACCAATGTGTATTTCTGTGCATGCACATAATCACACCAATAGCAACACAGCCTCTGAATGAATGCCCTTGTGTTGAAGAGACGCGGGAGAAATTTGAATGGACTCGAACAACCAAAAAAGACAGGTTGTCCAAGCGAATGGGAAAAAAATATATATATACATGACACATGATGCAATGGACAATGAGGTTCTATGCACAGATTTCTGCACATCAATTGATGAGCAGAGTCGGCTGTATTATGGCAGAAGACAGGATTCAAATATTGCCCACCATGATAATTATTACTCCGAGCGTCCATGTAAAAATACAAACCCAGAGTTTTCACGGATTAATGGTGGAGGTTCAACATCAGCTATGTCTATTTGTTGCATTGACTTGGAGATGTCATCCACAGAGAATGGGATGCTGCATTGACATGTAATCAAGGCAGAAAACAAAACCGCACATATAAACGTTGGTAGGTTGTAACATAAAAAGTAGCCTAATAACTGTTATTGACAACATGGGAAGATACTGAAAGCAATTACCTTGAGTCATCGTCTAATAAAAACGAACTACTAACAGCGTTGTTGGAGTCCTCTGTCATCTGAACCCTCATACTCGAAATAACCTGTATTATCAGGACAAAAAAGGGTCAATTTTGGCTAAGGAGACCTATATCAAAGCTAGGAAACAAAGTTCAAAAAACACCAAAAGAAGGTCAAGGGAATAACAAATGTCGAGCAATTCAGTTCAAATTTAGATTAACTTACATCTGAAGACACACTGTGGGTGCCATATTTGTCATCCCAGTACATTGTACTTATCCTGTATAATTGTTGTATGCTGAGAACCTAATGAAACAGCGAGCAGAAATTAAAAAATGAGAGAGAAATAATATTTTGAAAAACAAAGAAGCTAAAATTTAAAAAGTATGGTCAGTTAAAAAGGGAAATAACTCACAGGACAAAGTTCATTCATTATTTCATTCAAAGTCTTTTTGGGCTTTTGGTGTATGACCTAAGTAGTGAAGACATTGAGAGAATACACAAGTCAGTAAATAGATAATTACAACAGCAATCCATGAACTGCACAAGGCCATGAACCTAAATCTTACTAGGAATCCAACTGCCTGTCTAATATGCTTCAATTCATCCCAAGCTGAACCTACATACTGAACACCAGAAGATGTTAGGTGAAGACATCAAAGGTACTGCAGAAAATATGATTACACTGCTGAATGGTGCTTACTTCCTCAGTTGCATAGCAGCACCATTGTTCTAATTCGGCCAACCCCGCTTTTACATATTCTCCATTGCTGAATGAGCAGCACTCACGTCGCAAAAGAAGACTGCAGAAATGAATAAGAAGCACATCCGTGTGCAGTTAACAAGTGATAAGATAATCAGACGATCCTATAATCCAATTGACAGGGTGCAAAACAAGGTAGATGCATATAATAATCTTAAAATTACCTGTTAAAAAGCTGAACATTGATGAATGAGAATATCTGAGTAAACACTTTGCGAACTAAGAAGGGGGGAACCTGCAAAGCCACAATAGGAAACTCATTCAAGGATAAAGTGGGGAAGTAAAGAAAGAAAGCTGCGATTGCTGCCATTCTGTCTAAACTTCACAACTCACGTAGTTTGCATTCATTGTCTTCAAATAGTTATTGAGGCTTTTCACAATGCTCTGCCAATGAGCAATCAGAGCTTGTTGAGCAACTGCATTAGCTTGGGAACGCCCTTTTGCTAAACCAACACGAGACGTCCTAGGTGCCTGCATTGAATGGGATAGATAGATCAGATCCAGCCATGCAGGTAGAGATTGCTAACTGTTACCTGACTGGGTGCTCCACCGAAGGATTAGGGTGCACGCTTATATTCGGAAAAAAANAAGATGTTAGGTGAAGACATCAAAGGTACTGCAGAAAATATGATTACACTGCTGAATGGTGCTTACTTCCTCAGTTGCATAGCAGCACCATTGTTCTAATTCGGCCAACCCCGCTTTTACATATTCTCCATTGCTGAATGAGCAGCACTCACGTCGCAAAAGAAGACTGCAGAAATGAATAAGAAGCACATCCGTGCAGTTAACAAGTGATAAGATAATCAGACGATCCTATAATCCAATTGACAGGGTGCAAAACAAGGTAGATGCATATAATAATCTTAAAATTACCTGTTAAAAAGCTGAACATTGATGAATGAGAATATCTGAGTAAACACTTTGCGAACTAAGAAGGGGGGAACCTGCAAAGCCACAATAGGAAACTCATTCAAGGATAAAGTGGGGAAGTAAAGAAAGAAAGCTGCGATTGCTGCCATTCTGTCTAAACTTCACAACTCACGTAGTTTGCATTCATTGTCTTCAAATAGTTATTGAGGCTTTTCACAATGCTCTGCCAATGAGCAATCAGAGCTTGTTGAGCAACTGCATTAGCTTGGGAACGCCCTTTTGCTAAACCAACACGAGACGTCCTAGGTGCCTGCATTGAATGGGATAGATAGATCAGATCCAGCCATGCAGGTAGAGATTGCTAACTGTTACCTGACTGGGTGCTCCACCGAAGGATTAGGGTGCACGCTTATATTCGGAAAAAAACAACAAAATGCAACTAGGGGAGGGGGAGCATATATTTGGAGAAGCTACTAATGATGGTTTAGACACAAGGGGTCTGGGAATTTTAGGGTTCAAGTCCCAAGATGACAGGAAGATTCATCCTTCTTGTTCCTTAACCAGAAAAAAAGAAGTCTATGGAACTTTGAGAAGGGCACGATTCTAACCTTGTCCATGTCTCCCCCTAAGTCTTAACAGTGGGTATGAAGTTTTTAGAAACATACTTAAAGCTAGAGTTTCTTCAACCAGATTTGATAGAGTAGTTTTCACCAGGGAGCATGGATTATCAGTCCTACTTTTTTTGTTTGAGACATGAAAAATGACAAGTCGTGTATTAATGTATATTCATTGCTCCTAAATCATCTCAAACTAGTATAATTTTAAGAATTGTTGACCAATTACATATCAACTACTTGTGCCGGTTGCTTTGTTATATGGTTCATAAACATTCATAGCAGGAATCATAAAATAATGTGGCACATACCTGGATACATAACCCAAGCAATGGGGAAATCTCTTTCTTTAAATTGTCTCTTATCATTCCATATATTTTCTCAAGAAAAGCAGTCAGCTGCTGTTTAAACAGCAAAGCTGGATATTTGGCCTCAACTTGACGTAATTCATCCAATCTACCAAGCACTCGACCATTGAGAAATGATATCTCAACACTCTGTGGAGATGCTCGCAATCCCTAGGACACAAATTTTACAACAATAAAAAAAAGATGGATAACACAGGATGCAAATTGGTGCCTCACTAGGAAAATCCGCTAGTAAATGTAAGTGATTGGCCCATACTTGGGACATCCTCCCAAAGAGAGAAGCTGATGATGACCTCCGCCGTTGTGGAGTCAAGCTAGCTGCTCCACTTGCTTTGAGTGTGTGTTGGAGGAGCATCAGCAATGTGGATGTATTGCATACCCAGTAGGCCAACACATGGTTATTATCTTGGACCTTCAATATGGTAGAAGTTTCAAAAGAAATATGTAAGGTCGTAAATTCACACACTTTGGGAAGGAATAGGATAAAAATTAACACATAATTTCCTAGACAGACTCTAAAAGTGCAGCACAATAAAATTGCAAATGAGACAGCAACCAACTAAGAAATAGGTCAGCAAACCAAAAAGCCTATGAGTTACCTCTATGGCAGAAGATATTGTCTGAATTATACGGTCAAATACACTAGTTCTTTCAACTTCAAATGATCTCCAATGAAGAAGGCATTTGTATATGACACAAGCAGCAACAGGTTTGCCACCAGAAAATCCTAAATCTTGTGTGATACACTTGATCAGCAGATCTTGGTTCTCCTGTACAGGCACAGCAGATTGCAGCAAATGGATCAAAAAAAGGAAACTAAGCTTTGTCTCTGAATACAAATACAAAATGGAATAAACAAAAAGCACGAATCATGGGTACAACTTTGCTTCATACATGCCAATGGCTACTTTACCTGCTGCTTTTCATTAAGAAATTTCTGTGGGTTTTCCTCAGATTCAGGCTCCCGTGGACTTGGTACAGCAAGAGTCACGTCCTGCAACATGTAGCAGACAATAAGCAACATAAATTTCCCAGCATTATCAGCCTCAACAAGCTTATTTGTTTGTTTCTCATTAAACAGAAAGTAATAATGTCTTCTTACAGGTGAAAGCTTTGTTTCTCCATTTAGAACCTTTCCATTCTCTGGAGTTCTCTGCAATTTTATTAAGAAATCTTAGAATATATCCACGAGATCGAATTAGACAGAAAAATGAGCAAATATATCATTCTTACCTGAATAATCATTGTTTTTCGTGCAGATAAAGTTTTTCCAGTTGGTGACATGGTCAGTGCCCGCTGACGAAGTACTTGATTCTCAGACTCGGTATTAGAAAGTTTTTCTTCAAGCCTGAAGAAGAGAGAAAAAAATGACTGTATGGTTTCAATATATTTATCGAATCATTACAATATCAGATCAATTTTCTAATAGTTGCACCAACCTCTGCACAGAATCTTGAAGCTGATCTACTTTATGCTCTGCATCTTCAAGTTTTCTGACCAGCTCTGTACTCCTAATCTCAGCATCTGTAGATAACTTCCTAGCCTCATCTGTAGCCTGTTTTTCTGATAGTAGCAAATTCTGTATGATTCATAGAAACTTATTCAGCCAGAGGACCTCACAAGTCCATTCTCTATGTATATGATGAGCAATACTCAACAATGTAAAAACGCATTATTGTCTCATAAATGCTGAATGATAAGTAACATACTTATAAACATGGTTACATGTGGCCTCTATTAAGCCAATATTTGAAGCCAGGTGTGCACACCAAGTAAAGTCATTTATTCCAGCACAACAGCATGACCAGTGTAATGGGATGAACAAACTCCAGGAGTTGAGTTTACAAAATGCTTCCTCAAACTATTTTCATAGAGTCCGTCAAAAAAGATTGATGAAGGAACAAGTTTTGTCACCCCAGCAGAAATGGGTACAGACTTGCAATACATATTTAAAGTCTGAAGCTTCCATTTAATATATGGAAATTGTAGGCCACTGACTGATCAAAAGAGACATTTCCTCAACTGAGTGNCCCCAGCAGAAATGGGTACAGACTTGCAATACATATTTAAAGTCTGAACCTTCCATTTACTATATGGAAATTGTAGGCCACTGACTGATCAAAAGAGACATTTCCTCAACTGAGTGAAGCACAAATATTCACCAGAATAGGATTATTTGAGTAGTAAAAAAGTAGTCATATTATGCAGACTTTGTTGCATAAAACATTTCAATTACTATATCTGAGTCACAGTGCCTACCTTCAGACTTTCTACGTCAGCTGTTAATGCGTCAACCTTTGCTGTGTCTTGAACCATAACAGGGGTCTCCTTAATGACAGGAGGAGCTTCTTCTATAGCTTTCCGAGCCGCCTCTTGTTCTTTGATTACTCTGGAGTTTGCTTCTTCTACTTGTGTTTGCATTGCATGCAAAGCCTCCTGTAATTTAGTAACCTCTTGGGCTTTGGCCTCTTCCAAATTAGTCTGCATTTAAAAAATAAATACTGAGTGCCACTCAATAGAGTACACTAAACTGTGAAGTACAACACAAAATGAAATAAAAATCACCCTCAATTGCTTCTCAAACTGCAACCGCCATGTAAGTTCTTCCACACGCTTTTCTAGCTTGTCTTTCGCTTCTTTGAGGGCTCCTGTTTCCCTTGCAGCCTGAATAAATTTATATACATAATTACTGGCTGAGAAGTAATTCCTCGTTTGGAATCATACGATGCATAAATATTGTACTAATGGAAAAAAGTAGAAACACGTTAAGGATTGAATTTCAAACCATTCTTAGATTCCGAAGCTCTCTCCTAGCAGCCCGTTGCCTCCAACCACATTGAGTAATGAGAGCAGCTCTCTGAAGACTCTTGTAGNTAATTCCTCGTTTGGAATCATACGATGCATAAATATTGTACTAAAGGAAAAAAGTAGAAACACGTTAAGGATTGAATTTCAAACCATTCTTAGATTCCGAAGCTCTCTCCTAGCAACCCGTTGCCTCCAACCACATTGAGTAATGAGAGCAGCTCTCTGAAGACTCTTGTAGTAAGAATATGCTTTGTGGCAACGCAAATAAGCCTACAAGAGACCAACTAGATGATGTGATCAAAAATTAAATTCTTTCCAGCCAACTTAAATAAGGGACCATTGGGGGTGAAATGATAATAAGACCTGGATTTTAATTGCAGCCTTTGTTTGTTTTCTATATCTGAATTCATTGCGAGCAGTCATTGCCCTCATGCCTGTCTGCAATGTGATTGCAGACAACCTCACTATTAAGTAGGATTTCCTATCAACGAAACATCGGAAGTTCTTCTGAATCTTGAGAGCAGCTGCCTCTCGACGCAATTGCTCAAATAGTTTGCAAGCCAACATAACTGATAATACACACACACACAAGAGAAAGAGAGTAACAATCTGCATCAGAATTTCTAAATAGCTAGAAGAACCAGTTAATAAACCTCAATAAGCATAAAAGACAAGCATATGATAGCTGTTTCTGTAACTCTTCTGAGTCGTTAATTTATAAGCATATTCATTTAGTTGACCATGGCACCTGAACCATAATCTTCTCTGCAGAAGCTTGAAGCAGTTCTACTCAGTTCTATAGATAATAATGGTAAGTAGTTATGTACCACTTATCAAAAAGGAAAAGACAGGCCCATACAATTATGCTTAAGACTTGGCTCTGGTGAAAGTAAGAGCTAAAAGAACGGCATTAAAACAACTAGTTATAAGGTACCTCGCCAACATGACTGCAATTGAATAGCTGCTTGGCGCAATGAGATAAACTCCTTGCGTGCAATGTAAGTACGAATTTTCCGTTGAATGATTTTAGCAGCATTTCCAAGAACCTCTGCTCTCCTTGCGTCTAGTTCAGCCATTTGACCAGCTCGTAGGAAGACTTTTGTCTTGCCTATCTGCCGAACCAAGCATATATAATGTATAAAAACAGAAACTCCCAGAAACCAATGGTAAATTGCATTATATAAAGTTACTGTTTCAAAACAGAAAAATAAAACAGCATAAATTTCTAAATTCAGTACTAAAAAACGTTAATTAAAATATTTAAAGAAGTTGAATACACTGCAACTACTGCAAGAGAATAATAATGCAAGTACTTAAATATAAAGCAAAATTGGATTCTAAACTCAAGAAAATTTCCGAATTTACCTGATAACCATTTAATCCCATTTTGTCTAGAATCATCTGGCATGCCAACTTGTCGTCATAGCTGTGAAAGAAGTTTTTGGTTAAAAAACTAGGATGATGGTGAAGGAAACCACTTAATGGATCATTCATTAGATATGTACATTAACTTACTAGAAAGCTAACCAACTTTTGAGAGTCGTTACAAATAAAGAAGCAAAAGAATGTAAAACTTACTTTCCTTCCAAAACCTCTGGAGCAAGAACACCAAAACGGAGAAGAAACTCATAAAATGTTCGTCTAGTGGGGTATCCAGCACAGCTGATCCTGATTGCCTCAAGAACACCCTACAGAACAAAAGAAATACCAGAATGTCATTTACTCAAAGATGGGTAAGAATTCATCAAATCTCAAGGTTAAGGTTTCAGGTGTTTCAGGCCAGACAATATATAAAAGCATAAGAAGCATATGAGGATTTGCAGAATATACTCACACCACAGCGTAATTGTTGGATTATATTCAGGTTCTCAAAGATAGCAGGCTTGAGGACATTGTTCGGCTTCACACATCTGATGTAGTGAGGTTCTGTTGAATTCAAAGTCTCCATTAAAGATTGAAGTTGTAGCTGTAAGCATGTAAACGTATCTCTAATTAATCAAAATGTACCCAGGATCCCGATTAACAAGTTATATAGCTACATACTGAAAACTTATACTAAACTACTAGCATGCCACTTTGCACCAAATCAATATTCTGTCCATTCAAACTAGCAAGCATACATACAGATTTCTCCAAATTTTTCACTATCAAGATATTTTCATCAAATGAATGAATCTTGAACACATTTCACACATTTCTATAATTCATGAAAATACTTCCCAGTATCCCAAATATCACAAATAACACATGAATTTTGACAAGAAATACAGAATATTATGAAACGTAAATGTTTTTTTCCTGGAAAAAAAAACTGCAAATTAATTCACAACATTAACCTGAGAAAAACAAAAACAAAAACAAAAACAGATAATTCCCAGCCCAGAATTTGTCATCTTGAAATAAAATCACTATCATTTGAGTAACCAGCCCAGTTCTCCTTTGGTTTATACAGAAATTACCACTAACTTGAAATACCAGAGAACTGGCAAGCAAGCATGATTGGCAGTCTTGACCTGTTTGCCAAAAATGGAAACCTTAATGGAATGGATAGAATTGGCTGGCTGTGGTATCTCTGTATCTCTGGGTACTAGGTCTAGCCCAGGTTTGGGCTGCATGCCGGTTGCTATGTTTTGTGGAGTTGAGTTATTTTGTAAGCTCCATTCAATATTCACTAGGATTTAAGAGATGTCTACCCCTTAAGGTTTGACCATCTATTCTCCATGATGGGTGTGCATTTTGCGCGAGTAGTTTTTATCTACAATAATCAATACTCACAGAAGGGCCTACCTGATGCATTTTACTGAAATTACTTCCAAACCTTAACAAGCATACGGTATCCATTGAATTGGCTGATTTGGCTCAAACTTTACAGCCACACCATACAAATCTCACATGAATCACAACTTAGTCCTGGATCAAATGTGCAGCTTTTCCAGCTACACATGGGTTTTGGAGGGTTAATGACAGAAAAGTTGACATCATAACAGATCTACAATCCACGACAATAGAAAAACACATCATGATAACATGATCGCATCAAATATTGCTCTAATAGAAAACTATACGGCATAAGCAACAAAAGAATAAAGCCAAGCGTTGCATAATTGCCACTTTAACTTGAGAGCTTCAGGGTGAAAATGATAAAAGCTCATGGTTCTGTCAAACTGAAAATCACATCAGACTGAAAGAGATTTGATGACGTCTCTTTGTTATAACTTATAAGTGGGTTTAAATGACCCAAGAAACCAATTATATGGTCCTTTGAATATTTCTACTCCAGAATCTATTTCCGCAACCACAATTTCAGGGTAGTCTATTTGGCGGACCATTATTGCAGGAGATATGGCCTACATTGCTCTGGCATTGTTTTAAATCTACAAGAGTTGCAGAATTCTCAGATAGATTTTGTAGAGAATATATGTCACAAAGTGAAAGCACTCATATTATCTGCAGCCTATCGTACTTTAAATCTGCAGAACAAGTCAGCTTAAAACAGATAAGATGTGTATTTAATCCACATGAGGTCGGAAACAAATTCGGTACCTTAAAGCGTGACCCAATGGAAGAAAACTTAGATGATTTTGATGATTCTTCTGGAAGTTGAGGAAATAAACCAGCCACAAAGGAGCATGTGGAAGCCGTTAACAGATCCAGATGTTCTGCCACCACATAATCTTTATTTTTGTCAAGAAACAGATCAGCCAGATAGTTCACCTGCAAAACATGGGGGACATTCCAGCAAAACATCCATAAATCAGCTGAAAGAATGAACATAACCAAATAGGTAACAAAATGGTTACCTCCCCGGCATAATGAGAGATTGTAAAACTAGTACGAGAGAGCTTAGGTTTGATGAAGCGCTTGTGGTTTGCAAATGTTTGGTATAACTTCTGAGCAAATGTCTCATGGGTCGATTTGGGAAACATGCTGCATCAAGCAATGATATAAACATAAATCAAAATTATAGAAACTAAGTAGTACTGCTTATGACCTCTAAAAATAACATGATAAGACTTCCGATTTTCATAGATCAGAAAGTGCATGNCGTGGGTCGATTTGGGAAACATGCTGCATCAAGCAATGATATAAACATAAATCAAAATTATAGAAACTAAGTAGTACTGCTTACGACCTCTAAAAATAACATGATAAGACTTCCGATTTTCATAGATCAGAAAGTGCATGGGGCTAACACAACCATGTGAGCTCAAAAATAGATATGGGAAATTTATAAGAACTAGAAGCAATGTTGGATTGACAAGAATCAAAACACATCAGCATACCAGNTGGGGCTAACACAACCATGTGAGCTCAAAAATAGATATGGGAAATTTATAAGAACTAGAAGCAATGTTGGATTGACAAGAATCAAAACACATCAGCATACCAGGCTTCATCTAGAAGTGCAATAATTCCACCGGGTTTCTGCAAACATTTCAAATTTCTCAGTTATCATCATCTGAATAGAAACATTATGAGACTCTGTTTTTCCTTGGACTAAAACATTATGAGACTGACAGAGGTGTTAAACTGATCATTTGATCACAACATGTAAAAACAATCTCATCATATAAAATCCTGGTCAAATACAAAAATTATTGAGTTAAATTAATCAAGCAACATTTGTGCACCTTCTCAATCAGATCCAACACATCTTGGTTATCAACAAACTCTATGTAGCTCCAATTTATTTGCTCCTTCTCATACTCTTCTTGTTCCATCTTAAACACATGCTGCAACAACAAGATTACACACTTATTATATAAGAAAGCGGAGATATAGTGTTCAAAATAGTACCGAAGAACTCACACAAAAGAAAACTAACCTGGTTAAAATGTTGTTGCAGTTTTTCATTAGTAAAATTGATACAGAACTGCTCAAAACTATTTCATACAAATACATGTTAGCATAATAACACTAAAGTAACGTCTCACTCCACTAACGAGATTTCTAATTAATGATTTACCTGTTGTGCTCAAAACTTTCGAACCCATATATATCAAGAACCCCAATTAATGATTTTGAGTTAGGATCCTGCCCAATTGAAATGTTTATTTTTTCCACAATCCTGAGGAAAGAAGAGAATACCTGGTTATTATAATAAATAACAAAGTTCCAGAAGATGTGTTTACATAGTCTATGTATATTTGACACCATGAATCTTAGATATTGAGATTCCTTACCAGTCAAACAAACGAGAATACATGGTTTTAGCCAAAGCATCCCTGCTACCCAGAGCAGCTTCCGGGTCAAGTGTTCGTGTAATAACTTCCTCAGGTGTTACCATCACACGCTTAATAAGTGCATCTTCCAAGCTCTTGGCATTACATCTATTACATGACAATGATTAACAGAGATCTTTGGTATCAAAACATGAATCTTAGATACTAAATCAAGATTAGGTAGCAGAAAAAAATAACCTACTTGAGCAGTTCAGCCGTCGTATTTAGATGGAACCTAGATTTCTCATCCTTAATCATAGAAGAGTCAATCTCCTTCCCTTTCGCAAATTCAATATTGCCAAGATGAAGAACTGCAGCCACAACCCTGAAAATTGCTTCCTGGAAAAAAAAAATCTTTCAGCATAAGAAATTTCACTATGAAGGCTGAAATTTGGCAGTGATGGAGAAGACTGACCTGCTCTTCCTCACTTATTCCAACTATATCCATAGCCCTTCGTGTTGCCAGATATTCATGAGCATCATCTACTCCATCAAGCTCATAACAGTGGGACTGATTTAAATAATGGAATGATTTAGGACTTCCCAACTTATACTTCTCTCTATCCTGTAAATTGAAGAAAAAATATCAAATATTTTTACATCTACAAGCAACTTCGGTAATAAATTTTGGTAGTAGTTTGAAAACAATGAGACACAAAACCACATAGCAAAACATAGCACAAGTACCTCAAGAGGCGCTGCACAAAGAAGATAAAAGCAGTGGTAGTTTCTCTCAGGATCTGAAATTTGGCAAACACGAGACCTCTCAAGCAGATAAGTTCGTATAGCTGCCCCTGATATCCTCCCACTCTTATCAAATTGAATCTCAACAAATTTTCCAAATCGACTATACATTGTGATATCATGATCACCAAAAACAAGAAGAGTAGTCAGCTCGTTGAAGAAAATACATAAACAAAACCAATTAGTTAGTTTCAGTGTCAATTATAAAAGGTCCACAACAATTTCTCACCTTGAGTTGTTATTCCTGACTGTTTTGGCATTGCCAAATGCTTCAAGAACAGGATTGGACTATCAAATTTATCACCAAAAACCAATTAGACAACATTTCCGCCACTCACATCTTGCAAGAAGAAAAGAAGTCAAATCTATAGATACAGGTTTTGATCCCAATATAATAGGTACAGCAAAGAAACTTCAATCTTACTTCCAACACTTGCTGTTCAACTGTCCGTCCTTCTACTCCAGACCGGCCACCCAGATGTGCAAGATATCTCATGAGCATCTTTGTTGTTTCAGTCTTACCAGCACCACTTTCTCCACTAACTAAAATTGAGTTGCTCTTTCCCTCGTTTATCATTTCCCTATTTCAAAAAGAAATTGCATGAATAGAAGAAGCACCCAATGTAATTGCATTGTATATGCTAGATTACTATTACCTGTATGCAACATCAGCAACTGCAAAAACATGAGGACTTAGCTCTCCAAATGCTGCTCCTTTATATTGTTCCATCATGTGAGTGCCATATAGATGAGGTAATCGTTGAAACGGGTTAACTGCTATCAAAATATTACCAGTGTATGTCTGGAAAAGAGATTAATAAGAACTCAAAATCAAAGCAACTGATTAGTTCAACAACAATCAATGATGTTTTAGTTTGTTACACAACCAACTACTACTATCGTATTATAAAAAGAAAAATCAGAAATCTTACATAAATTTCATTAAGTTCATATCTGGTAGCCAGGTTTTGTAGAACCCCTGGTTCATGCAAATATGAAAGCTTAGTCATGTCATCTACACCTCCGGGAGGCGCTTCAGTATCCTTCGGAAACAATTTTGAGATTTTTGTGACAACCTGCATTCAGTTTCTCATCTATAAGACTTGTAGAACCACGGTAAAAACACAAAAATGCTTTGAGAGAGAGTCCGGAGTTAAAACATTAACATTCCCCTTTATAATGACTAAATAGACTTCAGTGAATACCTTCTTACTCTTAGACATGTTTAGCATATTTATAGTTAATGTCGATCATTTTTTGCTTATTACATAGTCAATCACATGCTATGGACTTAATTTACACACATTAAGCAAGTAGCAGTCTAGCACTCACTGTTTTTCCGTTTGAAGAATGAACATGGACATCTTGACCATTGATTCGAGTCACTTCTCCATCAATCCAGGCCAGGACTGGATCTTCAACCCATACATGAGACCCAACAATAATGTTAACTGTTGTTGCCTGCAAACAAATATTTGCATTAGCCATTGAAGGAAAACTGGAATTCACAACAATATCCATAAGACTCCAACTGGTATCCTAAATACATAGAAAAAAATATTTTACAGAAAGAGCATCATGAACATGTAGAAATATTAGCAGCTCCTGAAAATGTTTAATGTTCTAATGTAATCTCCATGTACAATATATAACTTCAACAACTTCTCAGCATAAACACATATGAAATCTTGAGGTGAGGCCAGGGTCAAAGCCAGGATTTCCAGTTAGAGTGGGCAGAACATGCATAAAAGATTCGCCAATTAATGCATAGAATTTCTAAGTTTAAGCATAAGATATATATTAAGACTCAAGGCTAAATTACTATATGAAAAATAAAACCAGAATCAACTCCGTATCGATGAGGAATATAACGTTTGTCTAAAAATTCAAAAAATGGTCTACCATTGATTCTATGTGAATTGTTTTAGCAATATCCTTTTAATGTTTGCAATGTATGTTGTTACGAAGCCTAATTTTGATCTTTATTCATCTAGTTGACAAATCAATTCTTTGAAAGACATAAAACATTCTTTTGGTTAGAAAATTTTACGATTTGAATCTACTCTTCTTTCGTTAAGTTAAAGGCCACTAGCTTGTCGAAAAAGAGTCTGGGATGGTTACACAATACCATGTATTAAGTCAAAGAGAGATATTATATGTGAGTTGGAGCATTTCACATTTGTTTCACGCAGTTCACAAAGAAAATATTTGGTATACAGGATTAGAAAGATCAGTGGCCACTGATATTTTTTTTTTTAAAAAAGACCACTAAACAAATTTTCAAACAATCAATGGAATCAATGTATCAAATTGAAGAGGGTCGTGATCATTTATATATATATATATAGAAGAATTTTCCAAAATTCAGTGGGGGCAAGGTCCCCCCTCCCTTATAGGCGGCTCCACCACTGGGTAAGGGAAACCAGCATTCTCAATCTAAGAGATAGCTCAACTGCTCAAGTAAGGTCTATTCACACGATGATCTTCATTTTTAAAAATCTAAGACAAACTTACATTCACTTATTTTTTTATTATAAAGATATATTATGAAATATTATTTCCTAAATCCAACTCTCAGCAGACTATCCCAAACATAGTAAATTGATGTAGTTAGAGAAAATGTGTTACAATATAATTTAGATACAAATTCAAACTCCTGAATTTTAAATTTGTAAGTTTTCACTAGGAGCAATTCTCATGAGCCTCAAAATTTTGTAGCAGCTATATATCTGTGCATGTATATGTATGTATTAGGTATACATACAGATATGCTCTCTTCTATGGCAAAGGGCATAAATAAACAGCATCAGAGTTCATACTTATGTTGAAACATTTTNGGTATACATACAGATATGCTCTCTTCTATGGCAAAGGGCATAAATAAACAGCATCAGAGTTCATACTTATGTTGAAACATTTTAGTGAAATCAATACCGTAAGAAATTTATAGTGACATTATACATCCCGATAGTAAATGACATACTAATTTGCAATAAATACCAATATACAAAAATCTAATTTCCCATAAAGGAGATTTTTTTTCTTTTGGTTTTTTTAATACTGGAGAGTTTTGATCATGGGCTTTTCAAACTAGTGGCTACAATGTAATCCAAACGCACACAATTACCAGCAAACCGCATGGGGAATCCAGAGCTCTCTCATGAGAGATGAACTGGGGATCTCGATGTAATAACCCCTATAGTCGTCCTATGATCTATCTAAGCTACCGCATGCCCCTATGTAGTTTTTTGTGTATGATAAGATACCAAACCTTTTCTAAGTTGTTAAATAAAAGGGGTTCACTAACTCGCTAGTGTCTTGTTGTTTCAGTTGAAAACTATTGCTTGCATTACCAACAATATGCCTATACTCTTTTAATATTTTTGGATAGAACCTACACTAAACATGTCAGATGATAAGAAGTTGTTTGCCACTTGTACACTAGCCACTATCACATTAACCCCCTCCATTACTTTAATATCGCATTTCCTGAATCCACATAGCAAGAAAGGGGAACAAGTGGTAGAAGTCACCTCTTTTTAAGCCATGAAAGTAAGAAATTACAATTATAGAGAGTTATCCGAATATACTGTTTGAATATGTTGCATCATTTTGGGTTTTTTAAATGAAAAATGGCCTTAATCATTGCATTAACTGCACCAAAATGTAAGAATGTCATTTGGCATCCTATAGTACTAACTACAGATTGCATTTTACTGACAACCATAAATTCAAAACAATTTCTTTTTTATCATGCAATTGGGAAATAATCAATATGGCTAACTCGCATCCCTAAAAATTATTCTATATCTCAAAATTTAACCATTCCAGCAACAAAACTATGTAAATTTTCCGCCAAAAAAAAAAAAAACACGACATTAATTGCAATGTTTTTACATTATAATTGTCAAAATCACGTCGAAATATATGAAATAAAACACAAAATCAGACATAACATTTCTGGTCGCAATACGTTTCAATTGCACAAACAATTACAAAGAGCCACTATACATGGAATCTAAGTTGAACAGTTTTGACTTGAGCAAAACAATCAGTCAATTAATTCATCCAACGAACAACGTAAAAAAAAACAAAAAACAAAAATAAGTCCTGCTGTTCTGACTTACCATTGACGAGTTTAAATATGGTTCTTTTTCCCTTCAACTCATGAATCAAAGAACGAGATAAACAACACCGCCACTCAGTGAGTCGGATCGGAGCGAACAGTCTTGAAGCTTAGAAATAGTACAAAACAAAGCTTTTTCCGTTGATGATGATTTTTTGAGTCTGGTAAAGATGTAATAAAGAGAGGCCTTTTTAGTTCTCCCTCTCTCTCTATCTCTCTCTCTCTCTCAAGAAATGAGGGGTGAAGTTTATATTCAAAAGCGAGTTTACGGCTCTGTCTCTCTCTAAGGTTTGTGCGTGTGCCTGTGTGTGTGTGTTTTCTCTCTCTAAAAGCTCTGTGTGTCTGGTATGGTGAGCTGGGCAACGGAGGCGAGGACTGGTAGGACAAGTCGTGGGCCTCCACAAACAAGGTGGCAAGCGGCTCTCAAATCTGAACCGACCATTAAACATCTGATTTTAAGACTAATTAACCTTATTTATCTTCGTTTATGTCTTTGGGCGTCCCTTTGCTTTTAATTACGGAAGTGCCCCGCTTTTCAAGGGAAGGAAAATTGAACGTTACTGAACCTTTTGAAATTCTATTGAGAAATGCAAACACAAATTTTTTTTTCTTTAAAAAAAATAAAAAATAAAAAATACCTCCCATGTGTTTCAGATTTTGTTGCTTACTCCAACCAATTCCCCCAAAGTTCGTACGACACCACTCATTTAGAATTTATATTATAAACTGAAAGATGCATTTAAAAAGATATATTTATTACAACAGAAAGAGATGAATCAATTATAAAAGAGTATCGAGTACTTTACTTGAAGGAGCAAGTGAACGTGTTGACCGTAGCGAGTGGAGCGAAAATTTTTGTATGTCGCAAGTTATATCAAAAAAAGAAAAATATATTGCAAGACAACGAATGATTTACTCAATAGCACATATTGGTGTCAAAAAGAAAAGAGTGTGGCCACTCCTCTTCTCATCAAATTAAAGGGGCACAGCTCTATACGAGGCTTGTAGTGCAGAGCAAGCAAAAACAGCCATGGAAAATTGTGTATTGGTTTAGTTAAGAAAGATTGTGTGATCCATTAAAAATTATTGAGTCTATCTTCAAAAAAGATAAATAGATGATTCAGATCATATAATCTTAATCTCAATGAAAAATATGATTGCTCCTAAGACGTTATTAAAAATTTAGTAATTCAAAAGAACTTGGAGGCCATTTAGTCGACAAACAAAACATATTAGAGGTGGAGTAAGTTTGTTAATATCAATTAAGTTTGGAGTGAATTGCAAGCTGAGGTTAGCAATTTTGAAGGGACATTACAGTCGGATGTCCGGCCCCCATTTCTCGCGGCAATGAACACTTTAGGGTAAATCTCATTAGTACCCCCTGAATTATGACTTTTATTTAAGATTGTCCCTTGAACTTTCAATAATTCATATTTATCCCTTAAATTATATAATTATTTCAATCAATCTCTTCTATTTAGATTAACAGCTAAATCTATATAATTAAACAGTTAATCTTCACGTAGGGGGTTGATTTAAACAAATTATATAGGTCAAAAAATAAATTAAAATAATTAAAATTTTAGGGAATAATTTAAAACAAACACCATGAACTACTATGAGATTTACCCAACTATATTTTTGTGTAGAGAGATACTTCCATATAACGCACTCGTACCATCCTAAAAATGTCCAAATTAGAGAATGAGATACATTTTCAGGAAGACATAAATATACCTGCAAACTTACCAAGAAAATGACCAAATTATCCCCAGTTAGAAACAAAAACTGAAAGGTATTTTCGTCAATTGGCTTTTCTTAACGTATTTTAGCCTGGAAGCAAACCAGAAGGAATATACATTTCGCCGATATCATTTGTTGACGGTTGACAATTGATTGGAAAAAACTATTGTCATACCCCTTGAAAGATAAGGACTTCACTTATATTTTTAAAATGAAATTGTTACTTCTTCTAGTTAATATATTCATTTCAGATAATATTCTTATTGTACGGAACAAGTTTGAAGAAATTATTCGTCTCTTCCTTTCTACAAAGTGTACGCACACACTTCTTCTCTAACCATTGTCCAAAACTCACCACTGAACTACGACCACTCATCACATCTTCTGTAACGTTGTTCCAAAGTCTACCCTCATGTTCACCAAGTTCCAGTAATTCTGAACCCACACATGCCTCCTGATTCAAAATTCCACCATAAGAAGTAAATTTTTTTTGCCAATTCAAATTGAATTCATCAATTAAGTTCGATTCAATAGTTATATGTAAATGTTTGCACCATCAATTATATGTGTGTGTGTTTCTATATGTTATAGAGAAAATAGGGATGTGCAAACATTGAGGTGTTGGTGAAGGTTATGAGCGGAGGGGTCTTGGAGAACGTTAAAGGGGGTGGTTTGGCTGGGAACTTCTAGGGGAGGGTTCTCACTTCTCGATGGAGAGAAAAGAGGAAGATCACAGTGTTGGTGATGCAGAGATGTAGATGGTGATGGTAGCCAAAACAAAAATGTTTAACAATCTCTATCTCTTGCGAGGTTGGTATATAAGAAAGAGTACTAGTGTCGTTTTCTCATATTATCAAGCTCTAGAAGGGTTATGGATAGGGGTGACAGTGGATCGGGTAAAAACGAAAATTTGTCTAAACCCGCCTCGTTTGGACGAGAGATGGACTATACGTATTGGACGGTGGACGTATACGGAGATACATGTATAAACCCGTGTGAGGATGGAAGCAGGGATAGACTTACCCTTAGCCCCCGCCCCGTCCCCGCTACCCGTTAAATAAATAAATATATATACTCTGCCCTAATTCGCTCTACTCTTCTTCCTCACTCAGTCGCCCACCTCTTACCCTATCTCTCTTTCAGCAATCAGCCTTCACCTTCAGCAATTTTGTTTTGCAATATGAAAAATCACGATGAGTACCTTCTCTAAGATGGAGCATGAGGTAGGAGAATGACAAGTTCCTTGCTGGAAACTCCCACAAGTTCCCAAAGGTGTTCCAAAGCTTGCAAACTTGATGAAAGAAATGGACTGGCCAAGACCACAGCGAAGGTGAGCTTTGGGATTGTGAAACTCTTCTGTTTTACCATAACTTTCAATGTGCCAAATTTTAATGGTTGGGTGATACTCAGTGACATCGGCACAAACATNGGGATTGTGAAACTCTTCTGTTTTACCATAACTTTCAATGTGCCAATTTTTAATGGTTGGGTGATACTCAGTGACATCGGCACAAACACTAGTTACTGCTTTTTTCACAAGAGCAATTCTTGTAGTATCTCCCTATTAACTACTTGCACAGTGCAATGAATTATTAGTTGATTTATCTTCTTTCAGATTTTCACAAATATTATGCCTTTTAACAGGTATTTTTTTTCCATCGACTCCTTTTCTATGCTTGGTAGTTGATTTGTTTTCAAAGGCATTTACCTGGTTTTGTTAAGGGTATACAAAATATTGTGAAACATGGTTTTGGGCTTGGGCGGGTACGGGGGAAGCGGGGACAGGAACGGGGATTATAAATTTATCCGCGGACGGAGGTAGGAATGAAAATTATTGGGTGGACAGGGGATGGGAGATTATACCCCCCGCCCCCGCTTCAGTCCATTGACATCCTTAGTTATGGAGGAGTATTTGGAAGAGTAAGGTGAACCCCAAAATACAAGCATTTATGTGGAAAGTTGCAAAGGAAGCATCGACAACTAAATGGGAGCTATGGAGGAGCATGCTGTCAAATTCACCAACTTGCCCCATATGTGGAGAGAAAGAAGAGACCACTGAACACTTGCTATTACTATGTCCATGGGTGCAAAGGATGTGGAGGGATTACCCTTTAAGCATTAAGATAAATAGGTATGACATAAGTAGATTTGAAACTTGGTTTATTAGGCAGCTACAAACCAGCAAGGTTTGTGATGAAGGAAAACAGGAAAGACAAACTCTACTAACGTACCTATGTTTGTTCCCATGGAAGTCCAGGGATGATTGGGTTTTCAATCATAAACAGCCATGCAATAAAGCTTGGCAATTGCCTACGCAGGTGGTTTTGAAGATTAATTGCGATGGAACTTGGATGGAAAGGACAAAGGAGGGAGCTTATGGTATCATAGTTTGAGATAGTGAAGGCAGAGTGCTCATGGCGGACATCGAAACTGTGGTAGCAGATTCTGCCTTAATGACAGAGGCTTATGCAGTCAAGCGAGCGTGCAAGATTGGTGTGGAACAGAGCTATGGTGTAATCATTGTTGAATCTGACTCAAAGCAGCTTATAGAGATTCAATCAATGGGAACAATGGGGACCCTTTGAAGGGGATTACAGTTTTACAAAAGGACATATGGAGCTATACTAAATTACTCTCAGTGGTGAAGTTTCAGGCAACACGAAGGACCCAGAACAAGGCTATCCATATGCTTGTAGCCTATACTAGAATTGAGAAATTTAATGTACTAGGAAAGATTGCCTCCCTCAATATGTGATGCATATTATTAGGATGGAAGTTAAAAGAGGAGTAGGATGAGTGAATCAAATTGTAAAAGATACTATGTTTCTTATTTATAGAATCTTATATTTTCTGACCAAAAAAATAAATAAATAATAACAACAAATAAGGTTAAAGTTATTGTTCTTTTCCTTTTTATTTGGGAGGAAAGATTAATGTTAGTGGCATTACACAAGGCTAATCTTATTTGCATTTTCATAGATTTTTGGCAGTTTCCTGACTTCTTCCCTTATATAGCATGAGTTTCCTATTAGGATAATCTTGTTACAAAGATGCCCCTCAATATTCGAGATTCACCCATTTTTTTTTTTGTCTCAATTGGTAACCATTGGAAGAGAGATTATCATCTTGTTGCCCCCTAATAAAGTAAAAAGTAAGTGACAAGATTTTGATATCTCCATTGATGGAATAAAGGCCAAAAAAGTAAATCCAACACTAAAAAACAAAAACCATTTTTAATATTAAATATTTAAAGTTGTCATTGAAGTTAATGAGGTGTTTTCGTGCAAAAACACGTTTTTTTTATACATGGGTTGATTTATTATGATTAAAAAATTCAATTTTGAATAACTTATTATAGTTAATGAGTTAATAGGGTTAAAAACTCAAAATTTAAATGTATTCCTGTAAGTAAAATGTTAAAATATAATGTTTTGAAAAAAAATGTTAAAATATAAATTATCGGATCTGAACTGTTGATATACCTTGTGCAAGTATAACTACGTGTAATATTATCTAAATAATTGATGAAATATAATATATGATATCTGCCAACCAAAAAAAAAGTACGTGAATGACAATTACTAACCACAAAACAACAGTTACACAATTCCAAGTCCTCATATAGTGTTCCTTTTTTCATTCCCAGAAGGCCAGAATAAAGAGTTAAAGGGTTCTACAACAATATCAGTACAGAACAAAGTCGTGATGATGAACGAGGCTGGGCCCCTATCCCTTACACAATATATTCCCATCAATGCTTTGGTTTACTAGACTCCAACACTTGCTCAAAACTAGACTCCAACACTTGCTCTATTTTTGACACGTGTACAGCTCTAGTCTTTTTTTTTTTTGAAATTAGTGCTGTCTCCAGTCCAATGGCTGAGGATGTGACTCGATCATCTATTGATACAGCAAAGGGTGTAAGCTTTTTCATCGATATTTTTTAGGGTATAATAGTAATTTTAATACAGGCTCTTTTCTTTTCCCTTTTTTTTTTTTAGTTAATTACACTGAAGGTCCTCAAAATATAAAATTTATCTCATTTTAGTCCAATATTTCAATTGCATCATTTTAATCCCTGAAGTATTGAATATCTATATAATAAGATAGCTAGGTGTTTGAACTTATAGAGGGTATATTTTTTCCTCCAAATTTCACACACTTTTCCTCACAAATTTCACAAACTCAACACAAATACTCCACAACACATAGTTACACATACTCCAATACACACTCACTACACACACACATATTATATATACACTCCAATACACTCACAGTGTCATAGTTTAATATTGAGTGATTTCAGTCACGAGATATCGCTAGTGTTTCTATATGGTACATCAAATAGACAAATTTTGGTTAAATACATACCTAAATTACACAATTTTAATCATTAGCTATCCAAATTTTGGTCAAAAACTACCTATATTACACATTTTTTTGTCAAGAGTTACCTAAATTTTATTTAAAAACTATCAAAATTATTTTTTGTCCATTTTTAAGTATTACGTGACAAGTTTATAATAAAAATCGTTAACCATCTAGGCGTTGTCTATTTGAAGGATCATATAGAAACATACCGAATACTTCAGAAATCAAAATGATGCAATTAAAACATTTGAGACTAAAATGAGATAAATTTCTTACTTTGGAGACCTTCAATGCAATTAACCAATTTTTCTTTCAACACCAAATAACAAAAATATATATTCCTAATTTAAATAAATAAGTTTTTTCTTTCCAATCCTTCAACTTTTTATTTCCTTCTATCAAACGGGAACACTGCAATAAAATTTCAGTGGGTGCCCAAAAAAATTAAAAAAAAAAGGTAATAAGTTCTACCACAAAAAAGTGATAAAAATTACACCAAATAGTAAATAAATTCAAACAAATGATAAGTAAACCAGAAAAATGAGAGCATCTCAAAACTTAGTAATCTACAATCTCTGTCGAAAAAATGGTAAGTAATATAATATCAAAAAAATTTAACCCTCGTCAAACAATTTGTTAATCTCATATGACACGTAAGCTTGCAAATCACCCCATGTGGAGGAAAATCTCCTCTAATATATTTTATATGTTCAATTTGCCTATTAGCTGATCACAAATTATATATCTATAAGTAGAACTTATTATATAGAAATGAGTTTTTTATTCATTAATGATTGATCATCTATTAAAAACAATTAAATAAAAAAAATTTATTTAAGGGGATTTTGGAGGTGCATGGCACATGGAACACGTGATCTAATTTTCGCCTTCTGGATAAAACAGCCATGGCCCATGGACTTCACCACCGCCACCAATATCTTCCGTTTGAGTCCGCCGACAAAAATAAAGCCGACACCGCTTCCGCCGCATCTCTCAGTCTCACACAAACACAATAACGCTTAAAACTGCACTTCCTCTATAACGCATGGCCTCCCCTCCATTGTTCCACTACTCTCCTTCCTCTCTCCTCCCCAAAATCAAACCACCACCGCCCCATCTCGTATCCCCAGATCCAATCACCGTTACAACTCACCATGCATTATAAATTGTAACACCAACAACCACCCATTTCCACCCTCTCCTCCACCACCCATCTCAGCCTCCCAAAACCATCTCAACGTCCTCGACAAAGCCCAACGTCACCACAGCGCCACTCACAACTTCTCCGCCAAATACGTCCCCTTGGACACCATTTCCACCAACTTCACCACTACGGAATCGTACTCTCTCGACGAAATTGTTTATCGTAGCCGTTCTGGTGGCCTCTTAGACGTCCAACACGACATGGAGGCCTTAAAGCAGTTCGACGGGCAGTACTGGAAATCCTTGTTCGACTCGCGTGTCGGAAATATCACGTGGCCGTACGGGTCCGGAGTCTGGTCAAAGAAAGAATGGGTTTTACCCGAGATAAACAGTGACGACATTGTCAGCGCATTCGAAGGTAATTCCAACCTTTTCTGGGCTGAGCGTTTCGGCCAACAAGTTCTGGGCATGCATGATTTGTGGGTAAAGCACTGTGGCATTAGCCACACTGGTAGTTTCAAGGATTTGGGCATGACAGTTCTGGTAAGCCAAGTCAATCGGTTGCGTAAAATGAACCGTCCCTTGGTCGGCGTAGGTTGCGCCTCCACCGGAGACACCTCCGCCTCCTTATCAGCCTATTGTGCAGCAGCCAATATTCCTTCAATTGTTTTCTTACCGGCAAACAAGATTTCAATGGCGCAATTGGTTCAACCCATAGCAAACGGGGCCTTCGTGGTGAGCATTGATACAAATTTTGATGGTTGTATGAAACTAATACGTGAAGTTACAGCTGAATTGCCTATATATTTACCACATTCACTGAATAGTTTGAGGCTTGAAGGCCAAAAAACGGCAGCAATTGAGATTTTGCAGCAATTTGACTGGCAAGTGCCGGATTGGGTTATAGTTCCCGGAGGCAATTTGGGGAATATATACGCATTTTACAAAGGTTTCAAAATGTGTCAAGAATTGGGTTGTGTTGATAGAGTTCCAAGGCTTGTTTGTGCTCAAGCGGCGAACGCCAATCCATTGTATTTGCATTACAAATCAGGCTGGAGTGAATTCCAACCTGTTAAAGCTACTAGTACATTTGCCTCAGCTATTCAAATTGGTGATCCTGTGTCCATAGATAGGGCAGTGTTTGCTCTGAAGAACGCGAATGGCATTGTAGAGGAAGCGACCGAGGAGGAATTGATGGACGCCATGGCGCTAGCTGATTCTAATGGGATGTTTGTTTGCCCTCACACCGGGGTTGCATTATCGGCATTGATTAAGATTAGAAATAGTGGGATAATTGGTCCGACTTATAGGACTGTGGTGGTTAGCACAGCGCATGGGTTGAAGTTTACACAGTCGAAGATTGATTATCATTCTAAGAAGATTGAGGATATGACTTGCCAGTTTGCGAATCCGCCGGTGCAAGTGAAGCCGGATTTTGGGGCAGTCATGGATGTTCTTAGCAAGTGCCTAAAGAAAGCATAAAAGCATTAGTTTTCGGATAGCATTGGTGGGTCACGGGAGTGTTGGTTTTTGTGATTCTTAGTTACATTTAGTTTTACGTAATGGTAGTCATGTGTTACGAGTTGGGCTATTGCCCACGATTCCATATGCAATACTAGGCACACCAACCTCACAGGACGGGCTTGGCAAGCTATAGGCCGGACTCATATTCGGGTCAGATGCACCTTGCCCAGCCCATAGACACCCCTCGCTGGACTCCATACAGCTGAGAAGACAAAACTTCTTGTTGCCACTTTTATCAGAGAGCTTTAATCCTTGACTGATCCGCTGCTTCAGCCAGCCACTGCTGGAACTGCATACTACACAAGAAACAATACTTTTCATCTACTAAGGAGTGACTGTTGAAACTTCAAATGTAGAGCTGGCAACGACTTCGAGCAAACTCCACGAGTGTGCCGAAAAAGTCTCAAAAGAATTTGTGATAAGTAAGCGCCTGGGTTCAGTAAATCACAACACCTAGTTATTTGTTGGAAAATAATGGTTTTTGTGCTTTAAACACCCAGAGGAAGCAGATATGATGGTGTCAAACCCCAAGGCACACCTTCTAGCAAATCCATAAATGTGGTGACAAAAGCGTGTCAAAACATAAGAAACTTTGAGGCTAAATGTGCGATAACTCACCAAAACTTATGGATGTTATGAGACGGCTATATGGGCCAACAATCTCCAAGGAGTTGTGTGGTAGACGAGCGTGCATATTTATGACTTGAAGCATTCACATTTCACATTATTTTGGTAGGTACACAACTCAAATAAGTTAGAATTTTAACACAGGCACCAGAGAAAATAGGAACTGAAAGTCTATCTTCAAAAATGAAATTTTCTGTTGGGTTGCGCTTGCATGCATTCCCACATACTTTTGTTCTTGTTTTTGGGACCTTAGTCCCCATGGCAACTCAAGTGGGTACATCCAAGCACAAAAGTTGTGCCTTAACTTAAAGTCCGTTTGGGGAGAGAGAGAGAGAGAGAGAGAGAGAGAGAGTTGTGAAAGTGGTCAGTTATGAAAGTAGATCTCCAGCATACTGCAGCAACTGCAGGAATTGTAATTGGACATTTTTCAAAAGCTTTTTTTTTTTTTTTTCTTCTTCTTTGGGGTAAATCAGTTTGCAAATGCTCCACTTGGGTCAGGAGAATACCCAGATATGGCAGAGTACAGGGGCGATCCTCCTCGAGATTTTCACCAGAACTCGAGAGATGTGGAAACAAAGTGGAACTATAAGTAGTAAGTAGTAACCACCACAAAGCTAATAAAAAGATTGCTGCTCAGTCATTGATATGCAATAAGAGTGGCGAGTATTAGCTTCGATGGTAAAACGTAAAGAAGTTGAGGATGCAAAAAGTGAATCTAGTTTAAAGGTTTTAATAAATTGAATTTGATAGAGACCTTTAAATACAATAAAAGACGGCATTTCATATGGACAAAAGTTCATGATCAAGTACAAAGGGCAATAACCAATACAAAGAATGAAAACAAGCTCAGGATCAAGTCAGCATTCCATTTCTAACAAGCTAAACAGATATCTAGAATTTTGACCATGTGACCTAGATCATGGAGGGTGAGCAAAATTGTGTACTAACACAGTAATACTCCCAGAAAATTTCTACATGTAGAATCCACCTTCAATATTTCAACTTACCATGCACAATATTCAAACCTAAGACTAATTTTGTAATGGAGTAGGACTCTCTATATAGAAAGAGCATTAATAAGAAAATTAACATTCTAATAGACAGTAAATAGCTGAAATAACCTTAAAGTAGCTTAGTACTAGTTGAATGGCTTTGGCACATTAATGCTACCCTTGAGTTTAGTGCAGGCTCCGAGCAAACATGTGTGATCTTTTCATTTTTAAATAACACTTCAAAATAAACAATGTTCTGATTTTGAACACCCCATGGTACATAGAACACTATTTGTCCCAGGCAACTGAAAAAATGTTAAAACATAAGAATAGTTTGTCATGTCACCATGTCTTTGGGTTTGAAGATCATGTGAATCCTACCTAAGACACGTTTCTCCACCTGATACCCCAAGTCCATGGCAACTCTAACCCTAATTCAATTTTAGACTCAATTTTAAATTTAGATAAAAATGGTTCAAAGTCCTTCTTCAATGGTAGACCGATACCCATATCAAAACCAAGAGAAACCCTATTCTGAACCTAAATCAAAGGAGACCCAAACACTCAATTATCAAAGGAGACCCAAACATTCAATTCCTAATAAAATCCAAGGCAGGGTTCAATTAAGTACTACAGAAAAAAAAATCAAAAAAAATATCCCGTTCTTAATTCATCTCAACCCAGATTAACAAAATTTTATCCCAAGTTATTTTTATCGGCACAGTGAATTTTATTAGTTCACTGTGCTTCATTTGAGATTATATTTTTAGCTCGAGCACAACCCAATCATCACATCCATCTACACTACCGCTTAATTTTGTCATTCCACTCAGTATTACCATCACCGCTAAGGATCACATAAATTTAGGCTAACTTGTTTAAAAGTCCCAATCTTTCTTAAGTTAAGAAGCCGCATGCAAAAATTCACCTAATACTCAAATTCCTTCTCCTTTTGACTTTAACTATTGTTATTTCCTTGATCTGATTCCAAGTTAAAGGCTTCACCTAATACTTGAATTCTTTTCACTTTGACTTTAACTATTGCTATTTCCTTGACTCTACTCTGAGTCAAAGAACATATCATTCACACCAAGGCTAGAGTATTCATGAGGAATTTATCTCTTATGAGTTGATCTCAAAAGATTACTAAAATTCAATTTCAGGACGTTTGATTTTACAATTCGTCTCTTTTATCACTTGAACTATCCATTGAATTACTTCAATTTAATCACAAGAATAAATTGAGTGAATAAATTATATCCAAATATGATTATTTTTATTTTATGATGCTATGAGTTTGGGTACAACTAATAGACCCATAAAGATTGTCTAATGAGGCATTTTTTGTTTTGTTAATCTTATAAAGCATATTTTAAATGACAGGGTCCCTCAATAGCAGCTAATGAAGGGGACTTCTCAATTCCCCAAGTTCAAGTTCATTTTACAAGTTTGGTAGGTCCTTCAGGTCCACCTGCTGATTTTATGGCATTTTCTGATCCTTCTTTTGTCTGTGAACTCCAATGGTGGAGAACTTCCCAAACATCTGAATACAAATTTAATCAGTACTAATGGAGTATTGGATCAGTTTCCATTCCAACACATTTTTTATGAATTAGGCGGTGACTTGCACCATCAAAATCATCTATTTAATCCTTGATGTATAAGTCGATAGCGCGTCCACATTCATGTCCACGTCACCATTAATCCTAAGTTACATAACTAAACTGCATCCAAAATTAGGACTTGACTAAGGTACGGTTAAAAAAAATTGGTATCAGATCTCTAATATTTATTATTTTAAATGATATTTTTATAATTTTTGTGGATCATTTTATAATCAAAAAATTTAGGATAAATTTCATTGACACCCATTAGATTTAAATTATATTTCACTGATTTTCCCTCTGGTTTTTGAAACATAACTACATACCCCTATCAAATTTGTGCCTAGTAAAATACGTAATTTTACTACATTACCTATACTAGAACTTCTATTTTACTTAATTACCCTTACTCAAATTAATACAAAAATAATCTATAATTTTATCAAATTAACATCAAATTGACCTTTAATTTTGTTTGATTAATAATCAATTTTATCAAATTAGCACCACATTAACATTAAATTTTATCAAATTAATATTAAATTTTACCAAATTAACATTCACATTCATCAAATTAGAATTCAATTCATCCAATTAAAATTCAATTTTATTAAACTAATACCAAATTAATATTTAATTTCATCAAATTAACATTCAATTTTATGGAAACCACATTAAACTTCATCAAATTAACTACCAAATTAATATTCAATTTGATATAATTCAAATCAAATTAACTATCAATTTTATCAAATTAACGTTAAATTTCATCAAATTAATACAAGATTAACGTAAAATTGATATTAAATTTTATAAAATTATTATTTTATTTCAACAAATTAATATTCAATCTCACCAAATCGATATTTAATTTTATAAAATTAACACCAAATCAATATTCAATTCTATCAAATTAACTCTAAATTAGCATTTAATTTCATCAATTTAACATTCAATTTATCAAACTAACATCAATTTTTTGATTGAATTTTAAATTAACATTCAATTTCATCAAATTAATACCAAATGATCATTCAATTTTTTGAATTTAATATTTAGTTTTATCAAATTAATATTATTTTTTAAAATTAGCACCAAATTAATATTTTGTTTGATACATTTTTTATAGGAAACATTCTATTTAATCCAATTAACATTTAATTTAATTAAATTAATATTAAAAAGATGTTTACTACTACTTTAAACTTATTTTATATGGCCAAGGGTAAATTTGACAATTCATAGGGGTAGTTTGTAAAACGTGTATATAAACTACATGTGTGGGCAGTGATATTTTAGAAATTATAGGGGGTGTCAATGAAATATGACTTAAATTAAGAGGGTGTCGGTGAAATTTATCTAAAAAATTATTAATTTTATGGTTGATTTACCACTTTTGTGGGTATTTTTATCACTATTGTGGATATTTTTGTTACATTTATGGTAACTATTTATACCATTTTTTCGGTACAAAAATTTATCACTTTTATGGGTGTTTTTACTATATTTGTAGATTTTTTTTTATCACTGTTGCAGTTATTATTTTTATCATTTTTTAGGATACCAAAACAGTAATAAAATCCCCCATAAATGTAATAAAAATAACCACAAATGTGGTAAATAGAGGTATGATATTGATATTTTTTTTTTTGATACTATAGTCAAATCCCGAGAATTATATGTTCTGTCATGCTACTGGTGTAATCGCACTTTTTTTTTCTTTGTGTGTATGATTNTGATATTTTTTTTTTTTTGATACTATAGTCAAATCCCAAGAATTATATGTTCTGTCATGTTACTGGTGTAATCGCACTTTTTTTTTTCTTTGTGTGTATGATCGAGTCTATTTCATTGCCAGATGATTTAGTGTTTTGTTCTATAGAGAAGGTCACGTGCCACGCAGTACTTGATGCAACATTACTAAACACCACAATTAAGGAATAAAATGAACTTGGTCCATTTAAATTTACAGATCGAATGTATTTATTGGCTAAAGAATTCTTATCTTGTAAAAACATAAAAATGTCGGGATAACAATCATAAGTTTATGGATTTGAACCGGAGTTTCTATAAATAATGTTAAAAAATTCAATCTTTATCTGGTTCTACCCTGAAAATGCTCAAAAAACAAATGTATTAATCAAATTTTTAGAAATATTTAGTGACTGACTTGAAAAGCACAAAGGGGTTATGCAGGAGAGGGGGAAAGAAATTGAGAAGGAAGAAGAAAAAGCAATAGGAAGCTTCATTGCATTGTAACAGTACTACAAAACAGCTGCAATTTGGATGCTTACATGTTTACATATCACATACATGAACAAAAAAGTTCATCATAGAAATAGAATACAACCTCGAACTCCAAACTCAACTAGACATATGTAAAAGGAGCTCTGAGAGGGAACAAAAAAACCCAATCAGACCTCAATCCCATGAACATTCTCTATGTTCCATGTTGCCATCAAACAATTCAGACCAGAAATGCAGACTCATATCCTCTACAACCAAAGGGGGCCTCTTATGGGGAAAAAAAACACCAATCCCATTGCCGTTTACATTACATACCATGTGTACATAGTTCAAACGATTGAGGGCGACTTGTGAAGTTGCTCTATTGTAACTTAAACGTCTAAACGTCAAAGTTCAAGGTTCGAATTACACAAACAGTCTGCATAAGCGCCAAAACTGCCTCGTGCAATCGAGTATAGTTCAAACAATTCAAACTTGAAAGAGGGACTCTAACTGGGATCAAAAAACAGAAGTAGAGCCCAATACGAATTGCCATTCTATCTGTATCACTCTATGTATTACCGTATAATATGCAGTCAAATTGATGTCTTTGTGCTGATCTGTGTGTAGAAGAAGAGAAATTCAAATCCCCCGATTCATGTCTTCCTCTTCTTTGTGCTTTACCCAGTTCCTTGGGCTGAGCTTTGACCCAAGTTTTGCTTCTGTCTCACTGAATTCATCTTCTCCAACCTCCATTCATCTCTGAGCCTAGCAATGAAAGTATCGGCCTTCACATTTACGTCTGGGCTAGGACAGAACGCCGATGATCCAGTCAAATCGGCACTGTCCATGGCGTCCGACGACTTACTTGACATTACTTCAACGTCTTCTATGTCTGGAGAACTAGCCCGAGAGCTATGAGTACTCCGTATACTGAAAAAATCACCACGAGCTTCAAACTTCATCTCCGGCATTTTGAACGGCGGCAGTGGTGGTGGCATTGGAATTAGCGGAGACTGTGCGCCGCTGTTCACATATTCTTCCCTCTCGTAGTAACTGCTAACCTTTGTCGGCAATGGTGGTTTTCCGGTGGTCGCTGGACGTCTCCGGATAGGGTCTGGTGGCGGAGGTGATGGTGTTGATAGAGGTCGAGTGTAATCTCTCTGTTTTGATGACACAAATTCTGGTGGTGGTGGCGGTACTGGTGGAGGTGACTTTGAATGAAATCGCTTGCTTATGTTTCCGTTTTTGAATAGGGTGTTAAGGATAGAAGATGGAGGTGGTGGCGGCGGCGGCGGCGGCGGAGCTGCCGAGGAAGAAAGTCGATTGCTTTTGCTTCCGTTCTTGAATATATTGTTGAAAATTGAACTTGGAGGAGGAGGTGGCGGTGGTGGAGGTGGTGAGGCAGAAACAGAATGCACTCGCTTACTTTTACTTCCTTTTTTGAACAAATTTTGAAATACATTAGGCGGCGGAGGAGGTGGTGGTGGCGGCGGAGGTGGCGGCGANAATTGAACTTGGAGGAGGAGGTGGCGGTGGTGGAGGTGGTGAGGCAGAAACAGAATGCACTCGCTTACTTTTACTTCCTTTTTTGAACAAATTTTGAAATACATTAGGCGGCGGAGGAGGTGGTGGCGGCGGCGGAGGAGGTGGCGGNCAGAATGCACTCGCTTACTTTTACTTCCTTTTTTGAACAAATTTTGAAATACATTAGGCGGCGGAGGAGGTGGTGGTGGCGGCGGAGGTGGCGGCGACGATGGTGGCGGTATATTCGAATGAACCGAAGAAGGAGATTGAGTGGCATCGTCGTAAATATTTCTTGTCTTGCTTTTGCTCTTTCTCTTCGTCTGATTATAGAGTGAAACAATAGCAGCCGCAATTTCCTTCGTTGAACCACTTTTCCTCCGATGAATTCTTTCGTGCTTCTGCTCCGACCCATGCACCGTCGCCGTTGCTGGCGGACGTGGTGGTGGCGGTGGCGGAGGCGGAGGAGGCGGCGATTGAAATTTCACAAACTCAGCTTCACGGCCATCACTTCGCTTTTCCACTTTTTCTTTACGAGGGACACTCCGTACAGTTCTTTTTCGTTTTGAATTCGCAGGCGGTGGAGGTGGCGGAGGTGGTGGCGCCGGCGATTTGCGTGGTGGAGATGAACGGAGTACAAACGTATCCACTGGAATTTCTTTAATATCAGAATTGTGTCTGTCCGGTGGAGTCCTCCGATGACGGCGGTGAACGTAATCGGATCCCGACGATCGAAACATGTTCACTTCAAAATCGTCAAAGAACCGAAACCGATTGTCAACGTTTTCCCATAAGGACTCTTGTCTCAGATCTGGGTACGAGCTACTACTCCTTCTCAATCCGCCACCACCAGTTTCCGTAGACCGAACCGGAGGATTATACACCTTCTGATCGGAATACTCTAACCATTGAGTATTCGAAGCCGATTCCTGTGGCTTTTCACTGTACGAACCACTAGAAAAGGTGGTGCCATCGTCGGCACCGCCGGTGGACGATCCGTCGTCATTTCTTCTTGCAAAAACTCCACAGAGAATTGCGAATAAGACGAGCAAGATGGTGAATGAGTCCCAACTTTTCTTGACGGAATTAGGTCGGAGAATCTGGGTGGTATGAGAGAGAAACGGAGGAATTACGAAAAATATGATGAGCAATGCGAGGATTGGAAGCAGAAGGATTAGGACAACAGGGTTGAGAATCGGAGAAGATGATCGGCGGCGAGGTCGGGGAAGAACGGTGGTGGGTGGGGACCAGAAGGGTGGTGAGTCTCCATCGGAGTCCATGGAGTTGAGATGGGACTTGGGGGTTTGGTCTGTGGACTGTGGGAAGAGCTTTTAAAGCTTTTTGGAGGCTTGAATAAAGGAGGACAGACATACTCCTCTACTGTCTAAACAAACAATTAATAGCAATAATGTTAGAGCGATAAAATTTTAGAATTAAATTTAGAGCTCAAATGATATAAAAGTTAATTTTAATTTTTTTGATTAATGTCATATTATTTAAGCTCCAATAAAAATTTTAAATAATTAACTCATTTAGGCTCCAAATTTAATCAGTCTGACATTACTCAACAATTAAAATTCTTTATAAACAAACAATTAAAATTAATGCACATTTAAATGTCATTACTAACTATAATATAAAAAGGTGAGGTTATTCTCGCCTTAAAAATATTTATTTTCACCCTATTTAATATTTTATTAACAAATTATTAAACTCACATTTTATATATCTACCCCATTTGTGTCTAAGTACACCTCATACTATAGACACTTCTTTAATAAATAATTTAGACAATAAGAGAGAAAAATATAGCAAAACCCAAAAGAAATAAGAAAAAAAAATCAAGAAATCTGTTGCCGAAAAAATAAAAAACGAAACATCTTTTCTAATTCATAAAGACTAATTCACAAACGGTACAAGTTGTATGAATGAAATTATAATTTCGAGAAGATATAAGGTAGAGTTACTTATTAAATGGACTCAAACTTCATCCCCTTCCTCTCATATAATATTANGAATAAGACGAGCAAGATGGTGAATGAGTCCCAACTTTTCTTGACGGAATTAGGTCGGAGAATCTGGGTGGTATGAGAGAGAAACGGAGGAATTACGAAAAATATGATGAGCAATGCGAGGATTGGAAGCAGAAGGATTAGGACAACAGGGTTGAGAATCGGAGAAGATGATCGGCGGCGAGGTCGGGGAAGAACGGTGGTGGGTGGGGACCAGAAGGGTGGTGAGTCTCCATCGGAGTCCATGGAGTTGAGATGGGACTTGGGGGATTGGTCTGTGGACTGTGGGGAAGAGCTTTTAAAGCTTTTTGGAGGCTTGAATAAAGGAAGACAGACATACTCCTCTACTGTCTAAACAAACAATTAATAGCAATGTTAGAGTGATAAAATTTTAGAATTAAATTTAGAGCTCAAATGTTATAAAAATTAATTTTAATTTTTTTTGATTAGTGTCATTTTATTTGGATCCCAATAAAAATTTTAAATAATTAACTCATTTAGGCTCCAAATTTAATCCTAAAATTTAATCAGTCTGGCATTACTCAACAATTAAAATTCTTTATAAACAAACAATTAAAATTAATGCACATTTAAATGTCATTACTAACTATAATATAAAAAGGTGAGGTTATTGTCGCCTTAAAAATATTTATTTTCACCTTATTTAATATTTTATTAACAAATTATTAAACTCACATTTTATATATCTACCCCCATTAGTGTCTAAGTGCACCTCATACTATAGACACTTCTTTAATAAATAATTTAGACAATAAGAGAGAAAAATATAGCAAAACCCAAAAGAAATAAGAAAAAAAAAATCAAGAAATCTGTTGCCGAAAAAATAAAAAACGAAACATCTTTTCTAATTCATAAAGACTAATTAACAAACGGTACAAGTTGTATGAATGAAATTATTATTTCGAGAAGATATAAGGAAGAGTTACTTATTAAATGGACTCAAACTTCATCCCCTTCCTCTCATATAATATTATATTGTCTGACAAACAAAACACTAATATAAAAAAGAAGTTCGCTTGTTAATACAATTATTATATTGAATTTGATTTAAATTCTCAAATTAAGTCAAATTATATTTTTCTACAAGGTAATATTTGACCATTAAGTATGAAAAGGAAGAGTAAGGCAGGTGAATTGAACACATCAGCTCCTTCATTTGCAAAAATACTAACATCATGACAAGTTTTAAATATTTTATTTAAATTCAACTAATTACTTTTTAAAATTTAAGCACGACTTATCTAATTGAACCAATCGAGGTTTGCTTATTTAGACTAAGTATTAACCATAAAGATACTTACATTTATATAATCATGTTATCGTAAACAAAATAATTATCAAGTGTTAAATTATACACTTGTCGGATACTATATAGTTAAAGCACTATAACTTCAAGTGATAGTTTTTTTATTTATTTGTTTATCTTAAGGGGTAGTTTACTAGAGACAAATAATTAATTATAAATTCAAATGTTGTGAATTCGAAACTTGATTATTTTTTTAAGGATTAGACCATGAGTGATTTATTTTTTAAAAATTTTCTAATTCTGGTGTGAAGGACAAGTCTTTGATTTTAGTAGAGAGGTGATTAATTAAGGTACATTTAAGTTGCTCCAACGGCCTCCGACAGCAAAACCAAAAAATTTAAGCAATTTATAGAATAGAAAATAATTTTTTTAAAATTAAATTCACATACATCGTAAAAATGTTGAAGAATTAATCAATTGGTTTGATATGAGTCCTTTTTTTTTTTTTTTTTTTTCCGTCAAGGGCAAAGTAGTCGAGACAGTTCACTGCTCTTATAATTGGAGCGTGGTTGCAATGATTGGAAATTCAACTTTTTTACATCAAAATTCCCACCTTTAAATCACCACTTTGTCAAAGCTAGGAAGGAAAAGGACATGCTTTTTATATACTAAGATATTTTCTTTCATTAGTAGGAGGAGCACAACACAAGAAGGTTTGCTTGGATAGTTCATATTCCTACTACATTCTTCAATGTACCTACACTAATTTCTCACCTCCATTGACTATAAATTTGAGTCAAATTAGACTACGCTGCTTAAAAAATTTTGTTTATTTATAAATTTTTCTTAATTAGTGAGTGAAGAATCCGTTTATATATAGTAAATCTAACTTGAATTTACAATAAAAAAATTTATTCGTGTTTCACGAATAAGTTATTGCCGAGCCCCAAATGGACCATGACCCCCTCAACTCTTTTTAGCCTTAAAATTATGTTTTGATTATATTTTATACATCACTCAAATTCTTGAATTTTGGTATTGTAAATATATAAATTTTAGATTATTTTGAATTATTAATGGTGTAATTGACTCCTTTTATATCTAGTAATTCAACTAATTTTGATTAACTTTATTTATTTGATTGAAAATAATAATTATATTATACCGTGTGAGATTGATTTTTATAGATTCTATGCATGTAAATGTCATAACATTAATGATTTAATTAAATAATTCACATTGAGTAAAAATTATATTTTTATATCATTATTTGACCATCTCAAGAGAAAATTCTGATTCCGTCCCCGTCGATAAGAAAAATAGAGCAAAAAATCCTTTAGTAGACTATAATAATTGAAACCAATATCTACGACATAAATTTATAGGTTGGTATGGTGCCGAATGCATCAAATATTGGTCAGTTCAGTCAAATGCATTCCTTTTTCCGAAACTTTTTCAATGGGTGGAAATGTGTTAACCATGCACCATTTTTTATTTAGCTTTGATTATAAATATGAGAGTGGTGTATGAAGTAGCAACTTTATTACATGAGATTGCACTTTGGTTGCATTGGAATGGCATGAAACCATACACTTTTTTTCAGTGACTAAACCATTATTAGGCACCCTGTTTTGGCACCTTTTCCTCCAAGTTATTTCTTTCACTTTTTTTTTTATCAAAGCAAGCCCATGAAACATTGTATTAAGTAGGAAAGTTCAGATTACAATCAGATAAAAGAGAAGCCTTAAGTTCGGGGGAAGGGGAACCTAACCAATCCAACGAAAGTGAATTGTTTAACTTAACAACTACCACCCAATGAGCAGTCCTATTACAAGCCTNATATAATCATGTTATCGTAAACAAAATAATTATCAAGTGTTAAATTATACACTTGTCGGATACTATATAGTTAAAGCACTATAACTTCAAGTGATAGTTTTTTTATTTATTTGTTTATCTTAAGGGGTAGTTTACTAGAGACAAATAATTAATTATAAATTCAAATGTTGTGAATTCGAAACTTGATTATTTTTTTAAGGATTAGACCATGAGTGATTTATTTTTTAAAAATTTTCTAATTCTGGTGTGAAGGACAAGTCTTTGATTTTAGTAGAGAGGTGATTAATTAAGGTACATTTAAGTTGCTCCAACGGCCTCCGACAGCAAAACCAAAAAATTTAAGCAATTTATAGAATAGAAAATAATTTTTTTAAAATTAAATTCACATACATCGTAAAAATGTTGAAGAATTAATCAATTGGTTTGATATGAGTCCTTTTTTTTTTTTTTTTTTTTCCGTCAAGGGCAAAGTAGTCGAGACAGTTCACTGCTCTTATAATTGGAGCGTGGTTGCAATGATTGGAAATTCAACTTTTTTACATCAAAATTCCCACCTTTAAATCACCACTTTGTCAAAGCTAGGAAGGAAAAGGACATGCTTTTTATATACTAAGATATTTTCTTTCATTAGTAGGAGGAGCACAACACAAGAAGGTTTGCTTGGATAGTTCATATTCCTACTACATTCTTCAATGTACCTACACTAATTTCTCACCTCCATTGACTATAAATTTGAGTCAAATTAGACTACGCTGCTTAAAAAATTTTGTTTATTTATAAATTTTTCTTAATTAGTGAGTGAAGAATCCGTTTATATATAGTAAATCTAACTTGAATTTACAATAAAAAAATTTATTCGTGTTTCACGAATAAGTTATTGCCGAGCCCCAAATGGACCATGACCCCCTCAACTCTTTTTAGCCTTAAAATTATGTTTTGATTATATTTTATACATCACTCAAATTCTTGAATTTTGGTATTGTAAATATATAAATTTTAGATTATTTTGAATTATTAATGGTGTAATTGACTCCTTTTATATCTAGTAATTCAACTAATTTTGATTAACTTTATTTATTTGATTGAAAATAATAATTATATTATACCGTGTGAGATTGATTTTTATAGATTCTATGCATGTAAATGTCATAACATTAATGAT